TTCTCAGGGGAGGGTAAACACCCGATGATTGACCAGCTCTGAGTCCCCTTTGGTGACTAATGGGCCTCTCCAATCAGGGTAGAGGTGCGGAGGAGTAGGCCTCCTCCTCCTTTGCTGTCCGACCACATCAGCATATTCCAGCCAGTGGCAGCAAGAGCTGAAGGAGGGAAAAGAAAGTGGAGGACCCTGAAGGGACTATGGGGAGACCCCATGAATGCAGACAGCCTCTCTTCCAACCAAACTATCTTTGCTCTTGTCTTATCACAACTCACCATAGCCCGAGATGCTGGAGAGACACCCCTATTTCTCACGTTTCTGCAGGCTGGAAGTCAGAGATCAGGGGGCAGTGTATGTGGGTTCTGGTGCAGTGTGTGTGGGTTCTGGTTCTGGTTCTGGTGGGAAAGAGGGTTCTACCCTCTTCCTGGTACAAGTGGCCACCTTCTCCTTGATTCTACAGGGGTGGGAAGGGCAAGCTGGCTCTCTGAAGTGTCATTTTAAGGGCATGAAGCCCATTCACGAGGGTGCCACTCTCATGAGCTAATTATCTTACAAAAGCCCCTACCTCCTAAAACCATCACATCGGTGATTAGGATTTCAGTGTATGAATCTGGGGAGCGGGGTGGACACAAACATTCTATCCATTACACCAACTGTGAGGCCCACCTCTGAGTCACAGGTCCAGTGGGTGGAGATGAGCGCTTGGCTTCTTTCGAGTTTTCACAACACAGAAAGAGCCATTTCTCTAATCTCCTTCCATTGCTGTGTTCACAATGCACCCCCGCTCAGGTGGGCACGAGGGGTGCCTCGGGACACAAGCCAGGCCACCAAGGCACATCAGGACCCACGTCCTGGGCTTCAGAGCAGGGGAGAGAGTGACATGCACTGACCCTGAGCTTGGAGACCCAGGTGTAAGGGAGAGGCTCAGGAGCCCTAAACCACCCTGGAGCAGAGAGGCCAGAGATGTGAAGGGCCCCAGGTAAGGGAGTCAGCTCAGGCTTGATCCCAGATCTACGCCCAGCGGGGAGCCCCTCCACTGCTTCACAGGCCTCTGAAAGGTGGTCTGTCCTTGAAGATGGCTTTCACCATTGGAGGTGGCTTTGCTTGCTAATATTCGACACATCCCTCTTTTATTTAAAAATAGCAAGCTCCTGAATGGCTCAGAAAAATCAATGGATCCATTTAAACTGCAAGCAAAAACATATCAGGAGACCACAAATGGCTAAAAAATTCTGTCCTGAGAAGATGCTTTCTCCTCACAAGTGAATGCAACTACTGCCAAGGGCCAGAGTTGAGAAAGCAGGAAGATCTCTCAGCAAAGGGCCTTTATTTCAAATAAGGAGGTTACACTGAGTGGAGAAAGGGAGGAAAGCTTGCCAGAGGAGTGCAGTCAGGCACTTACTGGGGACTTAGAAAGGGGCCCATGGATTCTGGGAAGCCTTGGGCCTATGGGTGATGGGCCCTTGGGGACAGCAGTGAGGAAATGACGCCTCCTCGCCAAGTCCAGTTCATTCACAGAGGCTGGAATTTATGAATGAACCAGCCTCCACCTGGTACTTTCCTGTAATACCACCCTGCTGTACTACCTTTGTTCATGCTGCCTTTCTCCTGAAATGCTCTGTCCTCCTGCCTTCTCAGAATGATGACACACTACCAAGCTTTCACTCACTCACTCACTCACTCACTCACTCACTCACTCACTCACCACCAATATGTGATGAGCTTCGAATGATGCAGGAGCTGGAGAGACAACCATGAACAAAATAAAATAACTGCCCTCACTGAGCTCATTTGTTTGGGAGACAGTGGTGTTGGGGGTGGGGAGGAAGCAGGCATCAGTGAACAGTTAACTGAAAGATAGCCAGGCAGGCAGGATCCAAAGGCACTTACATTTAAAATATGTTAAAACCTGTAACTAGCCAAACAAAGCAAAACATGAGGGTCTATACAGTTTTAACTCTGGATCATAGGGGGAACCAGTTGCCTAGAAACAAAGAATGTGGAGGAGGGAGCTTGGAACTGCGTGGCCACAGACCCTGAAAAAGAGCCTATTTCTTCCTTGTCAGGCAGTCTGATCTCCATCCAGATCCTGTGGCCCACTCCAGCTTGCTTCACCTGTCCCCAGAGTCACCCCTGCCCAAAAGCAGAGTTGAGGGCCGCATGGTAACTGCTGATGTGTGTGAAGGCGAGATGGGAAGCCACCTCGCTCAGGCTCGAAGGTGGGAGGCTTTTTGGGGAAGATCTCCCTCACTTTCCCTTTGTGATGATAAAAGCATGGCTGAGTTTATCTTAAAAGCATGAAGGAAAAAGAAAAATATCAGATGGTTTCACTTATAGGAGGAATATAGGGGAACCAAACAAGGGATCAGGGGAAAAAAACCAATAATAATTAAAAACAAAAACAAAATTAACAGGTAACTATAAATCAGACACATTCTGCGGGGTGGGGGGAGAGGGGGAGAGGAGGGAGAGGGATCAAAAGGGGGGGCGGGGAGGGAATAGCACAAGGGACTATGGTAATGGTGGGGAGTGGTGGTGGTGAATTGGTGGTGGGAATTCTATTGGGACTACACCTGAGAAAAGAAAGAAAACATTGCACGAAAATGAACAATGATATAAAATATATATGTGCAAATAAATGATAAAAAACGCAATCACATATTGGATCAAAAACCAATTCTTGCATTTTTCCTCTTTCCTTTGATTTAAATCTGTGTTGTTTCCTGCAACCTGGTCTCTTCTGGGTAGCCACCCTGCAACTCAGATTAAGCACTAAATTCATTTTGCTAGTCCTTTGCAGGGCAAGCTTCTTGACAGGAGGGAGCATTTTCTTCTGTCTCATGTGGGAAGAAACATTTTAAAAAGTCATTTTAATACCTGAATGTGTCTTTTGCCGCATACATGCATCTCATTGCTCGTTTCTGCCACCCCTTAAAACAGAATGTGGAGTTATTCCTTGAAGGGAACTCAGTTGTCTGACTTAAAATTTTGAAAGGACTGGCTCATGAGCAGCGAGTCTGCAAATGCGGCGGGAATGCCTGGCGTCTTGACAGCCCAATGTCTATTTTACGTAACAGCAGAAGAGCCACAATGGCATGGGTGTGTGTTCAGGGTGCCACTTTTCTGGTTGCATGGATTCCAATGGAGTGAACTTGGCCTTGAGTCCCATGAGGGTGCTCCCTCTGGAGTAGGACAACTACAGAATCATTCTTGGACTGGTTCAGGGATAGCCAACTAACCAAGACCGGCCCATTGGAGAAAAAGAGACTCAACTGGGACGCTGGTTTCAGCTACCAGGGGAAAGGACTCTCTTTCCTGCAGTATGGAAGCCTGAGGAACAGGAGGCTTGGGCTGCTCTGGCCATCTTATCCCCAGAAAGGGGACCTATAAGAATGGAGACTTGTAGAGAAACTGAGTCTCACTGGCATCATTGAACTTTTGAATCCAGAGGAGCCTCAAGTCAGCCCCGCCTGTCTCCGCAAGGCAGTAAGTTCTCCATTTCCCCAGGTCAATCTGAATGAGGTGTCCCGAAGTCCTGGGTATCCTCTATTCAAACACAAAGAAAAGTGGCTGGTTTTGGGATATGATTCCAATGGAATCTGTTCCAATTACCTTCCAGGCACACTTCATCGTGTCTGTATGACATTTTCAACTTCTTAAAGCATCCTGACCTTGCAGTGACAGGCAACCTCATGTCATCCAGACCACCCTTTGGCGGCTTTCCCACGAACTCCACCGATGAGCACCTCTCCCACGTGACACCTACACAGAAGAGCACAATTTCCCAGCAGGCTGGTGAAAAACCACTCCCTTCCCACATCCTCTTTTCTTGAAAGAAAAAGTTAAACATTTAAATGACTACTCAAGGAAACTCGGTCTGGAGAAGGGCAGTTGAAACTAAGAGATTCACCTTCACTGCAGCCGTGTTTGTAAGAGCCAAAAACTGGGGGGAATCCCATGCATCCAATCACTGGGGCCTCTATCCAGTAGAGTGGTATGAAGCCTTTAACAAGTAGAGCTAAATGTCCAGTTACCAAGAAAAGGTAAACACTGTGTGTCGTATGCTATTGTTTTGAGGTTGTTTTTTTTTTAAAGAGCAGAGCTTTATCTACACATAATCATGCAAGTGTGCAGACTGTCTCAGGCAAAAATGGTGACATATTTTTGGAAGCTGGAGGCAGGGAAGGGGGTGAGAGTACCCCCCCTTTTTGTTACCTTTTGTATTTTGTATAATGTTTTATCTATTTTATATTTTAATTAGGTTGACTAATTAAGAGAAAATGAAATACAATGATGAACAACTACAAAAAAAAAAAAAACCTATTGCAATGTGAAGCCACCCAGAAGACCTGAAGAGTCTCTGGGCTTTTAACCAGAGTTGGTCTATGACTTGGCTCCTTCCAGAAGCTGGGACTTCTTCTACCTGGATGTTGACCTTGGGAGGTGAGGGATAGACTGGGAATCAATTGGGAGGACTGATAGAAGGAAAAAGCTAGAAGGGCTACTGGAGCAGTTAGGGCAAATTTAAATGAAATCTTTGTCAAGCCCTGAAAGCTAGGATTAAGGAGTGGGCCACAGGGGCTTACAGCTGGGAAGGAAGAGAAGCTGCTGGTTATTTTCTGAAGGAAACGATAGATCTGGGTGCTCTGCGCAGTCACCCAATGTCGTAACATCCTCTTTGTGTCTCCTACTCAGTCATCTATGTGGGCTATGTCTGCAGAAACCAGGGCCAGGACTGCTTCACTCTCTAATATTTCTGGGGGACTTATTTTGGACAAAATAAGTGTGTGGGATTCAGGATCCACAGCAGTAGCCTGGGAAACATCTGAGGACAGGTTACAAGCCTGGCAGGAAATATAAGACCCAACCTGAACAAGTGTACGTGCTTCAGGAGCCAAGAGGCCAAATGTTCCTAACAGCAGCATCAGCAACAACCATGGCCATCACCTGGGAAGCTGGTGACTCCAGGGACTCTCCCTACACCAGAACCCATCAGGGAGCCTCTCTCATCCCTCCAGTGTCTTGGGCTGCTTCAAGCAGGTTCAGGCTCTGCAGACAGAAGTAACTCCATAGTACTATGGTGTTACTGAATTTCCAAGAGGGTCTGACTCCGAAATGCCCTGCAGCCTGCAAGCTCTGTGAATGTCCTTGTGGAAAGCTGTGCCTTGACGCCTTGGCTGACATTCTCTCTGCCAGCGGGTGGGCAACACCCTATGGATTTATCCTGACCACTGTGGGGGACACTGGCTCGCTTTCCCTTTGCAGCCATCACAAATCATGCTGCTCTGAGGGCTTCATCCAGTCGTCGTCCTTGGCTCCTAGGACGAGGCTTGTCCTGGGATGGCTGTTCCTGGGTTGGGCATTTTGGGTTCGGCTCTGGTGGATGGTGCCAAAGAGCATCCCAGTGGCTTAGACAGATGTGCTCCCTACCAGCGTGCAGAGAGTTCCTGCCACTCAGCATGTCACCAACACGAGGAATGAGGAGACCTCTGAGCTTCTGTTGCTTGGCAGGTCTGTGGCTTGCTTCTGGTTCTATGGTCTCTTCCCTGGTGCCCCCGGGCTTGGGCGCTCCTCGTGTGTTCATCAGGCGTTAGGGCTTCTCATGTAAAGTGCCTGTTCATGTTTTTTGCCCATTTTTATTGGAATTGATCCATATAACTCCTTTAATAACTAATGTGCTACAAATATCTCCCCGCCCTCTCATTCTGTGGCTTTTTTTTTTTTAAATCCTTTGTGTGTCTTTTCACAAATAGAATTTTAATGTCCACTTCATTGCTTCACAAACCATGTATGCGTAATGGGCCAGTCTTTGGTTGTTTTTGTCAAGGGAATCTTGCTGAGTCCTTCTCTGTGACTTTGACTTGCAAATCCTATTAAGTTTTCTTCAAGTGAAGTACCTGTATTGAGTCAGACACATTTAGATGCCCAATGCATGCTTTAGAATCCAAAATGAAGAAAATAAAGATATCAATGCTGAAAGTAGATCATGATGGAAAAGCAAATCAAGCTACCACACATGAAAAAGAAGACCACTAGAAAACGAGTATAATGACAAATTGTCCTCAGGCAGAAAATATGAAAACAACTCAATTAAGAATGGAATATATTCTTCTCTAGCATATTTCTTGCCATATGAATGGTCTACCAGAATCAAAAACAGGGAACACAGTGATCTTACTCATTTATATGCCACTACCCAGAAAGTTCTATGGGTTTGTCATTTTGAGGAAGAACTCTGTTAGCGTCAGAGTTTGGAAATGAAAGCAATTAATTTTAGATACGGCAAGATTAACGATTCCACCTGTTTTTGGTATTCCAGTTAACTTTTGGTTTCATATTAACCCATGTCAATGAATTTACCCAGATGGTATTTAGAGTAGCCTCTAAATTTTAAGCTTTGTGGGAGTAAACTCAGGGTGGCCCATTTCAAACAGGCTTGTAAAAAGTGATGGTGCACAATCACTTTTTGTGGAGCTCATTTCTTCAAGTGTAACAATTACTTGTTTGTTTTTCTTGATCTCCTTCCACCAGACTGATCTGGGCTGGTAAGCTGCATGAAATTACAACTTAAAGTGGTGAATCTTTCCTGATTTCAATTTTCCACACCATTCAGCTTCCAGTAGAGGCAAAGAAAGGAGTGCTTGTATGAGTGTTGAACATATTGGTGCTGGCTTAGTGTGTGTGTGTGTGTGTGTGTGTGTGTGTGTGTGTGTGTGTTGAATGTGTATGTGTTGCCTATGTGTATCAGTTGAACAGGGTGTTGAGGGCATGTGCATATACTGAGCATGTGTTACATGTGTTTATATGTTATATATGCTGAGAATGTGGGTATTGAGGATGTGTATTAAATATTTGGGTGTTGAGTGTGTATGTGCATTGAGTGTGTTAAGTATGTATATATGCTGAGGGTATGTATGCCTGCAGATGTGCCCATCAGAGGGATGTATGTGGCAAGGACACATAAAAACATGCCCACTTTAGGTCACACCTGTAGCACTAGGAATCCAAAAGGCTGCTTCTAGAGTCTGATTTCTTAGGAGAAGGTGCGCGCTGAAACCAGCCTTATTCAGGGTCAAGAATCACTGGGGGAAAAAAAAAAAAAAGAATCACTGGGGCGCTAGAGATCACGTCCCTCCTTACTCTAACCTAGAAAGAACACAATCAAAACACAGCTCTGGTTGCCCTTCCCTATAAACAAAGAAGAAAGGGTCAGACTTGGGGACTTGCAGTTTGAATCTCAGGAATGCCTAAGAAGATGCAGAGGCTGCCTCCTGAGCAAAGACGCTACTGAAACTTGACTCATCCTTGGCGGTTTATTGTTTTCCCCTTCGCCTTCCTTGTGACACAGAGGAGTGAGGTGAGTAATGCTCTGTGTGCTGAGAGAAAAATAGATCCCCGAATGCCTTCCATTATGCTCAAGGCCTGTGTCACCAGCTGTGGCGGCAGGGGGCGTGGCCACCACCCCTGACAGGGAACAGTCACAATTTCTCACTCCCTCTCTCCCGGCTATTTGTGGTTCTGAAAGCACAACAAGCAGGGACCGAGAAGCACAGAGAAACATAAAAACTCTGCTTGGGGTCTTGGGAGAGTGACGGTGGTGAAGAGACCCTGGTCAGGAGTCCCCAAGGCCACACAAGAGGAAGACAGAGGGACCACTTACTGCTGCTGACGCTGCCCTACCCCTTTCCCACAGGCGTCAGAACCTCCTTTTCTTCCCCAGAGTAAAAATAGCTAAAATTTACTGAGTGCCTATTACACGCCAGACACTGAGCAAAGCATTTTCCTCAGCTTATGTAAACCAATTGTCATGTACACACACGCGCACACAAACACACACGTACACCCTGGGGGCAGAGAGGGGCTAGCAGTATCTCCTTTCACAGATAAGGAATCGAAGGCTCAGGAAATTTCCATAACTCCCAGAGCTCTTTCCCTGGCTCCAGCTGGACACAGACCCCAGCACTCTGCAGAGGACGGCTCAGAACAAGCTCAGAACGGCCCGAGTTATGTTCTATTACCTGCTCCATTACATGCAGTTGTTTAAACAACGAACAAGAGAAGTAGGGGAGTGGAGTTCAGTTGTTTCATTTATCTGTTTCATGGACTGAGGTCTTAGCCCAGAGATGTGAGTGCTGACCCATAGCACAGGCTTCCTAGAAGCTTTCTTTGTTGCCAGACTCCTCCTGAAGGATGAAACGGGGAAGCGGTTGTGGCCAGAGCTAGAGGCTTGTTAATAAGGCCACAGCAGGCACAGAGCACAGGTAATTATGTCAAGCTTCCTCTCTTACAGAAACCTAAAATAATTTTTTAAAAAACCTTCATCTTTCCCTGTGCAGTTTTAAAAATATATATTAAGTCCCAGTATATCCAAAACGTATTTTCTCCTTCTGGAATTGACCACATTTTCCTCCTACCCAGCTGGAACCATGCTAGGGAGAAAAATGAATGTTTGTCTCAATGACATTTTCTTATTCAGCTAATTGATTTTTTTAAATAACAATAATGCTTGAACATCCAGCCGCCTAATTACCAGCAGCTTTTTATTTGCACTATCATTAACTTCACAGCTGCCTTGCTGGTGACAAGTGGCACCATAGAGACATCAGCTGCAACTGTTCGTTTCTGAAAGGGAAGCATGAAAAAGGCCTGGCTCCAACTCGGCCAAGGTCAGTGAGGGCTTCAGCTGATTTCATCTGAGCAAGTACCTGACTTCAAATGGACAGAACTGCAAGTGCAACCACAGTGGGTGGAAGGGCCTAGGAGGGAATCTGGCTCAATAGTCTCATTTCTAGATGAGGGAACTCAAGGTTCAGAGAGGTTAAGGGGTCCACCTAAGATCATACAGCTAGTCACCTCTAGAGCTAAAACTGAATTCCAGTTGTCCAGGCTCTTTAACTATTTAAATAAGTTTTTAAAAACAATTATAGCATACACACAGAAAAAAAGCAAGTGCACAGCTTGAATGATTATCTTTCAGTGGAAACATTCATGCAACCACCACCCAGCTCAAGAAATAGACTATCTCCAGCACCCCAGAAGCACCCCTGATGTAGCCCTTCCATGCACTGCAAACTATTTCAAAGGTAACCTGGACTCTGACTTCTGGCACCCTAGATTACTTCAGTTTGGCCCATAGTCTTTCAATAAAGGCCTGTTTTGTATGGAGTTTAGCTATTTGGACCTAAAGAATGCATCCTCTGTTTTTTTGAAATGCATAAAATAGTATATTAAGAAGGCATAGCCCCCAAAGGAACCCCACATTCAGTAAGGACTGTGGGGTCTCTATTGGGGAGTTTGGGAATATTTGGGAATTAGATAAGATGTGATGACGGCACACCATTGTGATATACTAGATGCTACTAAATGTTTGCTTTTAAATGATTAATTTTGTTATGTGAATTTCATCTCAATTAAAAATGATTAATAGTTTTTACATTTCATTGTATGTAAGTTTAAACTAAAAATGTTTGACTCAAAAAAAAATCAACCCAGTCTATCCCTAATAAGAGTCCAGGGTGTCTCTTCCAGCTCTCTTCTCATTGCATTGCCACGTGACTTGGTCCTTACCCCGCACGGACAGTCCCCTAGCAGGGTCATCTTGTGAAAGCCACGGTCAGTTTTCTGTGCTCATGTTACTCAACGCTGGGCAGTATTCAATCTATACAACAGCTCTCTATTCTTGAAACACTCGTCTGGGATTCTGGGACATCGTATTTGTCTGGCTTTTTTCTTACCTCACTGGTCATTCCTCATTCTCCTTTGCTGTTTTCCCCTTCTCTGAATGGTGCTCAGGACTGTTTTTGATCATCCCCCTTCTTCTTTAACTGGATGACCTCATCCAGTCCATCCATCCATCTATGACTTGCAAATAAGTATCTCCAGCATGCACATCTCTGCTGAACCCCAGCCGAGTCTAACCAACTCCCCACTTGACATCTCCCAGAGCTGAGGCAGAAATGTGGATTCTTTCCCTACACTCTAAGTCTACTCCCTGACCTGTTTTCTCATTTCTGTAAATGGCACCATCATCCACCTAGCTGCATAAGTGAAAACTTAGTCATCCTGCCCAAATCATCCATTTTCCTTATACCTCACTTCTAACCCATCTATATATTCTACTGCTTCTACCTCCATAATGTGTCTACATCCAACCACCTTTCTCTACTTCCACCTCTGCTCCTCCAGTCCTGGCCCAGAGTCCCTTCATCATCTTGTGTCCAGACTGCCTCCTACTAGGTCTTTCTTCCTTTTTGTCTTCCTTTAGTTCAACTTTCACTCAACCAAAGGGAAAATGATTTTAAAAGGTGAGATGGGTCCTGTTAACATTCCAGTGAATGTCTACCAGATTCAGAATAAAACCCAGGCTCATAAGGGTCTGTCCCAGTTCACCTGTTGAGACTTCTCTGTCCACTTGAACAGCTGCCTCTTTTTCTTTTATTATGATCTTAACTTAAATACCACCTCCTTCAGGAGATCTTCCCTGGTTATCCTCACTGAAAATAGCCTCTCCTGCCCAGGATCCTTTATCTATACCCAAACTTTTCTTAAGTAACTTGTTTTATGACTCTCTCCTCCTGCTAGAACATAAGTTCCTTGAAGGCAAGGATTCTATTTTATTCATGACAATAGAAGCACTGCATAAATATAAGTTGACTAGCCAGATCCCATCTATCCTGGGAAGATAGGAAAGCAAAATTATTATAATATAGTCTCAATTATTTAGCATTTCAGGATTCCAAGCTGCAAGTAACAGTAACAGGCTGCCTTAAGCAACAGTAAGAGAGAAGACCCTGAATAGGGTCAGAATTATTATTGTCTTTTGACCTACTTGCCCCACTCCAACTCCCTCCTCCCTTACCTCTTCTTACCTCTGAATTGGCTCCATTTGTTGGTCAGCCCTCTCCACACAGTGGTTCTTGCCAACTGTGTTCACATTCTACAGGTACAGCTATAACTCAGCAGCCCCGGTAGAAAGAGAACCTCCCCATTCCCTGTAGTTAGAACTGTCAATCTTATAATTGACTTTCCTTTTATCAGCTTGGATTCTGTACCCATCTTTGAGCTATCACTGTGTCTAGAGGGGTGAACTATGCTAACAAGACAATCTAAGTCTCTGGCCTACTCCTAGATGGGACAGTGTGGTAGGGAGTTGGCATCCCCTGAGGCACATGGTTTGGGGGAGAGGAGTGGTCTCCTATAGAAAACTCCAATGCAAGGAAAAAGATGCCCTTCACACTTGTCTTTTGTTTCAAGGAACTGAAATGTGAGCCAGTTTGAGAAGAGCCTATAATTTAGAGTTTAAGGATGAAGAACTGTTTGCTGCCATCTCTCAGGGCAGCCTGATGAGCTCATTCACCCACTGAACATTACATAGTATGGACTAAACAGACTTTATCTCATAAGGCCTCTATGGCACCTGCTACCCTCAAAGAGGTCATCCTTCGGCATCTCCTATAAGCTGGTGTGGAGTTTTATCATGAAGGCATGACCCCAGGAATTTAGGGTCAAAACTCTTGACTCTTGTTTCTCTGGTGTCCAGGCTTTACAGTTCCTGAGCCCTGCCCCAGGAAGCCCTCGTCTCCCCAGGTCTACAGTGTCTGCCTTGCCTTGCATCACCATTAGTCTTCCTGGTTTTGTCCATCACCTCATTCTCTTACCCTACCCCTCTGTATTTGCTTTCTGATCAGCCCAACCTTCACTAGGCCTGTTACTACCCAAAACCTGCCTTATCCAGTCATGTCTCTCACCAAAGGATTCCTTGATCTCCATGGAGGGGAGCACTCACCTTCACTGTGTTCACATCCCCAGAAAAGTAACCAGGTCATCCCATGAACCACAAAGAATACATCTAAATAGTCTTAGAAGGCTGCTTTGAAATAACTTGTATACTTAAATATCTCAGGAAGGCCATTCTCCAATTTAAGCTGACCCCGGGCAGTCTTTGAGGGGAAGATACATCTCCCTTTGTCTGCTTTCATGCAGAAGGAAGACATGGAGATGAGCTGATTGCTACGTCCTGTGTTTTACCTTTCTCATACACACAACATGACATTCAATAAGTCTCTGGTATTCTCCAAGTTTTATCTATTTCTTAAAATCAGGTTTTTGTAACTCTTTCAGACTGTTCCTCCCCAGTCATTCCTCTGCAATTATGCCTTATGCTCTGTCTTATGCTCTGGGGCTGAGATCGAGTAATAAGAGCACTGTAATTTTCCCTCTGAGTTGTAAACTCGGGCACAAAATACTCTTTCTGATCCTTCTGGGCATTTCCTCCTTTTTTTTTTTTTCCTTAAAAAATCCAGAAGATTACTTCGTGGTCAGGTGAGTTCCAAAGCACTGATCTTTTGGTATAAATGTTCTCATTCTAACCGCTCATATTGGTTGAACCCTACATGTACAAGCAGAATATAAGGCTTATTTCTCTACAGAAGCTGCTAGCCTGGCCCACAAGTACAGTTTTATTCCAACCAGAATGAAAAATTCATGCTAACAGAGACTAGTTCATCTCCATAGGCAGGCATAGGTAGGCACTCAATGATTATGAATTCATTTCCATTCATTCAATTACGCATTCATTCTCATGCAATCATTCACTCATTCCCACTCATTCAATCATTCTCACTGATTCAATCATTCATTTATTCCTTCTACAAATGTTTATTCAGCACTGTCTACAGAGGGCAAGTGATTCTTGGGGTTGAAGGAATAAAGCCAAGTGTGCCTGGGAAGATATTTCAGCTATAAGTAGCACAACTCTCTTCAACAATTAGGAATTGTTTCATCAGTGCACTTAAGTGGAAATCTGCATTTAGATCAGCTCAGGTTTGCTTGGCCCACTAAAAAAGGATCCAGGTTTCTTGCAGTTTCATCTTAATCCTTATTCCTTCTGGAGAAGGGGGATAGGGGAGGAAGACATAAAGATCACAGGGTGGGTGCCAATAACAACCAGCGGAACAGCAGGTGAAAGAAAAAAACTTCCTAAAGGAGGAAGACCTTCTAGCAATCCCCTTGCTTCTCAAAGACCAGAATTGGGTTATACACCCATTCCCAAATCATAATCTTCGCCTCAGACTCACACTGAGGATGGGATGGGCTTCCTCTGAAGCAAGGGGCCTGGGTTGGGGGTTGGCAGTCCTAGGAACAGAGGTTCTGTAAGAAAGAGAGTAGGAGCCAGGGGGTTGAAGGTAGTGTTGGGGGGAGCCATAGCATTCACTATTAGCCATAAAGAGCATTTACAATGAAAGCCTATAGTTTTGAAAAGTACCTGTCTACATATTCACTCATGCAATCCTTACAAAGAAAGCAAAGTGGTGGTTCTCAGCCCAGGGGCAAATCAGAGTCACCTGTGCAGTGATTCATATCCAGAATGTCTGTTCTGGGACCTGAGCATCTGTAGGTCTCAGAAGCTTCACAGGTGATTCTGATGTACAGCCTGCATTGCACACCGGTACGGTAAGCCAAGCACCGCCATCCCCATGGGGGTGCAAATAAGAATTTAGCACAGCCTCTGCCTTGGAAAACCTAGACTAAATGTCAATGAAGAGATTTTGACATGTGTGCCAGAGGAGTTCAGGGGAGGAAAAACTCCCTCTAAGTCAGGTTGGGGAAGGTTACTGAGGAGAGACGGGCCTTCAAAGATGAATAAGACTTGAATCAAGAGCCTGGGGGAGCGATGTAGCCAGAAGGGCGCAGCATGAGCTGGGGTGGAAAAGATGGAACACTTGTCAAATTCATGTGTCACGACTGTCAGGGGACAGGCTGATCTCTGGTTTGCTGCCATATTAGTATGCAAGAAAGGGAAGTTTTCTCATCCTCTGGAGTTTTCTCATCTTGAATCAATGATTGGAGAAACTGAGGTGTGTTTACAGAACTTGGTGAATCAGCGCTATCTGCTATTCCTGACACTTTGCTGAAACAATTCACCAAGCTTCCTCTTTAAGCACAAAGGGGATTTTAAAAGGCAATGATTGGGACTTTTACATATTTATGCTTATAAAATCAGAATCTTTGGGTGGAAAAACCCTATGAGATCACCTCTCTGTTCTACCCAACTTGTGTGGGGTCAGGGATCGGGGGTGGATACACAATGGTCTTCTCAAAGAAGGAGGCATTTCAACTCCTCCTCAAACCAAACAAAGATAAACCTGATCGAATTCCAGCCAGGCTGTAAAAGTGATGGGGCAAAGTTAACAGCAACCTTGAAGAATATGGAGGAAGTTTGTAAACTGACTGACAATTGGATTACATTTAAAGATTCAATTAGGGACAGATTGGGAATAGAGTTTCCTTTAGTGAGTCTGTTAACTACCAGGCAGAGGCTGATTGATACACAGAAGGTGACTCATGCATTGCTGGCTTGCTCAGTTGGGCTGGGACAAATGTCACCCACTCACTCAGATGGAAGCACCCCCATGCATAGAAATACACGGACACATATCGATTTTTTTAAATTCTACCATTACTCACTGTTCTTGACAATTTGTTTTCCTTCTTTAGTTTAGCTTTGTTGTTGCTACTTCTGCTGCATCTGAATTGCTTTTGAGAGAACTCTAAATGGGCCTCCCTCATGCTAGTGGAGTTTCTTAGCGGTAGGAAGAGAATTGGCAGCAGACTTGCCATGTGTGTCTTGGGCAGGACTCTCTGGAGGAATATTATTCTCTCAGTTTTCTCCCTAAGTTACCTATAATGTGGTTTCAGGACCAGAACTCTGACGAGGTCCAGAGATAAGAGGTAAAGAAAGCAAAACATGAAATACATGCATACCTTCACATATGGGTCATACTATAAAGGTTATAAGAGAACAGTCATCTCCTAGAAAGGTCAGCTCCCCACAGAGGAGGGGACTGGCTTAAGGCAGCAAGGGCAGAGGAAAGAGCTGGTTCACCTTGTTCCAAGTTCTGTACCCAACCACCTTTGGGAGATGGAGCAGAAGCAAGAGCAGAAATAGGCAAGAGGGCAGCTGATGTGGGGGTGTCGAGGTAGCAGAGGCCTCCCTACCAAATTAAAGATGACTCACACGTGTTTTGATGGAAGAGCCAAACCTTTCTGCAGACTCCATCTCTCCATGGTTTGAGCTGGTCTCTAAGTTCAGAGAGTTTCATTTTCTTACTCTTTAGTCTTCTCCATGATGAGTCTTAAATCAATAATCATGAGCTGAAAATGATGGTAAACAAAAGGTCACCATTTGGAGAAATGCAGGCCTTGTTTTGGCAAACGAATTACTTACACCCATTCTGGACAGACTCATAAAGGGGCCTACTAAGTCAAGGTTAGACACAAGTACCCCAGGAATATGAATGATGGCCACAAGCACCTTTTTTTTTTTTTTCCATTGGGGTAACACTGGTTTACAACATTGTATATAATACACCTCTTTTGTGTGTGTGTAGAAGAGTTGGGGTGTAGACCAGAGGTGCAGAGGGTGAAAGAATTCACCAGAGTCACAGTGGGGGCAGGGGCAGAACAGGCAAATTTACTGAAATACACTGCTGTGGGGAACAGCAGGAGAGACAGGAGAGGTCTGCTGCACCATATGTGGATTAGCTCCCTGGCCTAGTATTGAACTCAGGTGGTAGCAGGAATAGTGCTGAGATATAACCCCTAGGCCACCAGGAGGCCCATGATACACATCTATGTATCTATGTTACCAATCCACATTCAATAGACTTTTTTTTTTTAAGGTTTATTTATTTATTTATACATACAAGCACTGGGTACAGTCAGAAGCACCTTTATATTTATTTATACATATAAGCACTGGGTACAGTCAGAATTCACCAGAGCCAGAGCGGGGAGCAGAGCAGGCAGAAGGACCGAAGTACACTGCTAAGGGGAGCAGCGGGCGGCAGGAGAGGTCTGTGAGCCATGTGGGACCCTCCTCCGGTGGCCAGAGAGCAGCCGGGGATCGAACCAGCAGTGGAGAGGCTGCGGGCAGCTTCACAACCCAGCGCTCAACCGCTGCGCCACCGGGGAGGCCCGGCCACAAGCACCTTTCGACAAAAAGTGGCATAAGAGCAAAATAAGGATAGTCTATCACTTCTATCTGGGAGGAATACAAAAAAGTTTCGCTGGAAAAGATAGAGAGGGGGGCCTCCCTGGTGGTGCAAGGGGTTAAGTCGCAGCACCATGAAGCTATCAACAGCCATTGCAGCGCCAGTTCGATGCCTGGCCAGGGAGGTGACCCACATGGCACAGCAGACCACTCGTGTCTCACCCACTGCTCTCTCAGTAGTGAATTTCAGTCAGTCCATCTGTTCTGTTCCTCACTCTATCTCTGGTGAATCCTTTCACCCTCCACACCTCTGGCCTCTACCCCAGTTCTTGTATGCATAAATAAATAAATCTTTTAAAAAAAGAAAAAGATAGGGTTGCTTGTTTAAATCAGCTGCTCAACCCATGTGCTACTGATCATACAAGATTAAGAAGGTGAATCATTTAGCCCAAGTCATACTCTCAGTGGGAAAATAAGCATAGTATGCTTCACTATACTCAGGCCTTCTTGGGAAGGTTTATCAAGACAAAGATATAGTGGCTAAGCTTAAAATAATGATTCCAACAGCTGAAAAAAGAGAGAGCAGGATGACAGTGTAGGAAACTTCCAGGCTATAAATGATAAGAGATTGAACTAAGATAGCAGTTGTGAGGGACAAAATAGGTTATCAATTCAAACTCTCTTCCACTCAGGCATTCATTTGTTTTGTTTTTAAGATTTATTTATGCATACAAGAGCGGGGGTACAGGCCAGAGGTGTGGGGGTTAGAGGATTTACCAGAGACACTGTGGGGAGTAGAACAGGCAGACTGACTGAAATACACTGCTGAGGGGAGCAGTGGGCCAAACAAGAGAGTCTGCTGCACCATGTGGGTTACTCCCTGGCTGGCCAGGGATAGAACTCATGCTGCAGAAGCTGCAGATTGCTTCATAGTGTGGTGCTTAACCCCTTGCGCTACCAGGGAGGCCCAGGCATTCATTTGTTTAACAAACACTGGGCATCTACATTGGGCCACTTTTTGGAGATCTACAGATGATGATTAAGACCTGATCTAAAAGGAAAATTAATGACGAGAGTATAATGGAAAACCAGATATAACAGAGGTAAGTAAGCACAAATGCCATAACATCAAAAAAGGGGACATCTAACCTCATCTGTGATATTTTCCAAGAGGAGTTGATCCTTGAGTTGAAGATTGCAGGATGAGTACAGATGAGCCAACGAAAGGAAAGAACTTCCCACAAACAAAAAGATCAACATTGGCAAAGCTACAGAGCTGTGATACCAGGGCTCATTCAGAGGCCTGAAGTGATTTGGCATGACTAAGGTGGGAGATGTCAGTGAGACGCAGATCTTGAAGGAGCTTCGAGGCTATGCTAAGGTGCAGAAACTATTTCCAAAGGGATAGAAAACCACTAGAAGATTTAAAGTTGTCATGTTAAGAACTAAGGCTTAAAATAATGATTTGGACAACTGAAAAAAGAGAGAGCAGGATGACAGTGTAGGAAGCTTCCAGGCTATGAATGATAAGACAGCAGTTATGAGGGGCAAAATAGTTTGAGCTACATAATGGTATTCACTTCCCTCCAGGTTTCCCTCTTGCAGGAGAACATGGAAGGTGGCATCATTTGTTGGAAAAAATTCCATAAAATTGTATTATTTATTTTTTAAAATTGTATTATTTTTAATGAAGTAACAGTCATTTAAAACACTGTATATGATTTGGGGGTACAAGTTCACATCTCTTAGCTGCATGTTAAAACTCCACACCTACCACCAAAACACCTAAAATCCTTTCCCTTCTGTTTTCCCCTCCCTACCTCCCCCCACCCCAACTTCAACACTACAGTCAGACTTCTAGGGTTTGTTTTGGTTTTGATTTTCTGTTCCTTTGTTCACTTTCTCTATATCCCACATAAGTGAAATCATACAGTATTTGTCATTCTCCCTGACTTATTTCACTTAACATAACCCCCTCCAGTTCCATCTATATTGCCACAAAATGCAAGATTTCATTTTTCTGTGTAGCAAAGTAGTATTTTATGGTGTAAATATATGCCACATCTTTTTAAAATTATTTTTTATTGAGTTAAGACTGGTTAGAATACTGTGATTTGGAGGTACAGGATTACACCCTTCAGATGGATGTTACCACGCCTCACCCACTACCAAGGTACCCACAGTCCTCTCCCATAGTCCATTGGGTCCCCTCCCAACTATGTTCTTCTTCCTACTCTTACCCCCCTTTTTATATATTTTTAAAGATTTATTTATTTATGCATATAAGAACTGGGGTACAGGCTTCAGGTGTGGGGGTGAGAGGATTCACCAGAGACAGAGTGGGGAACAGAACAGGCAGATTGACTGAAATACACTGCTGAGGGGGAAAGCAGGCGAGTCAGGAGAGGTCTGCTGCACCATGTGGGTAGCTCCCTGGCCGGGAATCAAACTGGTGCTGCAGTGGCTGTTGATAGCTTCATACTGCTGTGTCTTAACCCCTTACACCACCAGGGAGGCCTCCGCTTCCCACTTTGGTAACCTCCATTCTACAGTCAGATATCTAGGGTTTGTTGTTGGTTTGTTTTGTCTGACTCTTTGTTTCTCTGTATTTCACATGTAAACAAAACCATCAGGTATTTGTCTTTCTCCTTCTGGCTTATTTTGCTCAGCATATAAGCTCCATCCATGGAGGCACAAATGGCATCTTCTTAATTCACTCATCTGTTGTTGGGCACTTAGGTTGTTTCCACAACTTGGCTATTATAGTGCTGCAAAGAAACAGGCTCTTATAGCACTGTAAACACTTTAGTGTTTTTGCTTCATTAGTGTAGACACTTAAAGTGGGATTCTTGGGTCATAAGGTAGATCTATTTTCAATATTTTGAGAAACTTCCAAATTGTTTTCCATAATATCTAGTCCAGTCTACATTTCCACGAACAGTATTCAAGGTTCCCTTTCTCATACCTCCAATACTTGTTGTCACTGGTCTTTTTGACAAGGGTCAGTCTCATAGGAATGAGATTTGTGGTTTTTATTTGCCTTCTCCTGATGACAGGTGATAATGAACATTTTTTCATGTGCTCGCTGGCCATCGGTATGTCTTCTTTAATTCACCCATTGAATAAATGCACCATGCACTTTTCTCCACTTTCTTGTTGATGGGCAGTCAGGATGTTGTCTGTAAGGTTTTGTTTTTATGAACAAATCTACAATAAATTTTATGCCTCAATACATATACAAGAGCATCTCTTAGAATGGAAATGCTGGTTTGCAAGGGGTATCCTTCAATTTACTAGCTAATGCCAACTTGGAAATAATGATGTGTGCTCACATTAGTCAAGTATGAAATATTTTCTTGGTTTTTTTAGACTTTTACATTTTCTCCTATTTGATATAATAGTTTTTGTTGGCATGTCCCTAATTATTCATTAGCGTTAAGTATTTTTCAGTGTTCATTAGCCACTTGGAGTTCTTTCTTTTGTGAATTGTTGATTCATATTGCCTCCTCCTCCTTTTCACTTTTCCATGGGGTTACTTGTTTTGTTAATGATATGTCAGATTATAAAATATAGTTCTGGTTACTAGTGCTTTATGGCAAATACCTTCTCACGGCCTGTGGCTTATCTTTAACTTTTTAATGTTGATTTTGGTTGTACACATGATTTAAATGTGAATATAGTCATATTTTTTCATCTTTTCAAGGATGAATCAACACAAAAATATTTTAGGTGCATGTGCTAGAGGGGGAAGTTATCAAAGGAAATTCTTGTCAAGTGACCTTTCTTTTCTCTGTAAAGTAAAAATAGAAGTTTGATAGCTGTAGAGTTTCCAAGCATCCTCTTTTAGCCAGCATGTACTCACTGAGTCTACAGAAAATGCCTCGGTCTCAGAGTGTGGCTGGGGTGGAGGGGGTGAGATGTGGTTTCATACAAGGAACCCCCTTAATAGCACTTATTGTCAGAGGCTAATCTGTGCAGCCTTGATATACTTCAACACAAACTCAGAAGGAGAGATGGGGGCAGGAACAAGTAATTACGTATGGACTGAATTAATCAGAGAAAACTATATGCCAACTTTCTTGATGGCCTATAAATTCAAGAATTGCAAGGTCTCAGGGTTCAAAGGAAACATAGGTAAGGAAATGGAGACCCACTGGGGTTGTAGTCTCTCTGCTGAAGGCCTCATAGCTGCTGAAAGGCAGAATCCACATTAGAACCACAAATTCCCTGGCTAGTGTGCCAGCCAAGAATGGTGCCGTGTCTTCTTTTGACCATAAAATAAAGATTTGGGAGAAATGCAAAAGAAAAAAGAACCCAAATAACAAAGAAGAACAGCAATCACAACCAAAAAAAAGAAAGTCCGTGACCATTTAATCTGGGTTCACAAATGACTGGCAACAATTTACTTGCCTTATGAGGATACAGAGAAATCTATTATCCTCCTCTGTGTGTATGTATGTGTGTGTGTGTGTGTGTGTGTGTGTGTGTGTGTGTGTGTTTTCTTCTTCAGATAGGAGGCAGAAAATAAAGTGATTTAACTCAGGGCACTTTACAAGTCACAGCAAGAGAGTCAGCTCCAGGTTCACCACTTCTCTCTCATAAACCACACAGCAAATGACCATGTATCTATAAATTGTACTCACTTTCTTGTCTCAGTTATGTGAGTTTTGTTCTTCCATTGACTGTCAGGTTAATTGGTTCTACTTTACTCTGCCTGTGGAGAAAGCACCCAATTAGGCAGCTAACAGTAACACTGAAAAAATAAACCAGTTACATTGATTAAGTTGCTTATAATCAAGCTGCTGCTACAGTCCTATACCTATATCCTTAGCAGCACACACCAGGGTAAGACCCATTTTCAACTGCCTACAAAAAGACTATTAATTAGGAGCAATCAAAATTCTTTCCAGGAAAATGCTTCAAAACATGAACTCCTTATGTCTTACTATGGCAATAACCTCATGAAGAAACTGGCACCATGTGCCCAAGTTTTAGAGAAATACCATAAGGCTAATTACAAGATATCTTTAGAATATTCCCCAAGGTCAAATATAATGCTCACTGGTATTGGAAGTTAGCTTCCTCCACCTTCCCAAGGAGACAGAATTCTACTAGCGCTAGTGACACCTTGCCAAGAGTTGAAGATTCAGAGAAGAACAAGATGTAATCACTGCCCCTTGAATATGGTGCCTAGAGGTGTTTAGAACAATATTCTAAACCAATAGTCCAGGGTGGTCTTACTAGATGTGAAAATACTAAGCAGAAATGGGAAGCAAGGAGCTCTGCCCATGAAAGCTGATGAAATCACCCATGTCCCATCAGAACTGGGTCTTTAAAGATAGGCCTCCAGGCAGAGAAGCAGGGAAAGGCATGTGGCATGGAGCACACAGTAGGCAAAGCAGTAAGGCATGAGCCAGCAGGGCAGGGCACATGGTCCATGTGTAAGGGTGAGTGGTCAGTGCTCCGGGCAAGAAGCAGGTTGTGGTCACAGCATCAATATTATATGGTGGATTACTAGTTGGAGTTTTAACAGGTAGGAGTGGCCATGCTTAGGTTGATGTTTCCAGATGATCAATCTGGCAGCCAAGTGTGGAAGACACAGCTCATTCTTTGGTTATTTCATCACGTTAGGGGAGAAGTGATGACAACTTGGTCTATAGCACTGGGATGGAGAACAACATTTAAGGGGTAGAATTAGTTAAATGACTATAAGGAAGAAAAGTGACTCCTTTAGCTAAAACTGGGGGAGAAATTAGGATGAGCATCAGTGTCACAGAATACAAAAGAAGTCAAAGTAAGGTGAAAACATAAATTTAAAGCTTCTATATAGTCAATCATGCATTGTTTCATTTTCAGAAAATATCATTGATTCCTCACTGTTAAAAAATAAATAAAATTCAACCTAATGGCTTGTCTTCTTATAAAATTCACTCTAATAGCTTTTGATGTGCTGGAGTAAATAATCACTGGTTTTGCCAAAATCTTCTGGAGCATTCTTCAGCAGAGGAAGTGCTTAATCTCTGTACCTGAGATGCTGCTGCATAAGCAAACAAGTTTTCCTACAGCATTTTATATATACATTAGAAAAATCAATTGAAAATAAATATGATATCATCTGCAGGAAGTGTGATGGCAACTTTCCATTAGCTTTTAAGGCAAGGAAAACAAGCCGAGGTGATGTTTCACGTTTCTAATAGAGGTAGCCTCCGCAAATCAGGCAGCATTAGGGGTGCCAAAAATAGGGGTGATGTAGGGAAAGTATGCCTTCTTCCCTGCCATGGATGCTGTGGTGCGCTGCCCAGATTCCCCCTTCAGGACTGAGTGCCCATTCTCCTAGAGGTAGGGAGCACTGGTGGCTGCTGACAATTCTCAGAGGAACTGCTTTTAGCCCCCTTGACAGGGGCAGCCACATCTATTGTTTGTTTGGCACTGGTTGGACGTAAATTCCTGCTGCTGTTGACTTATGTGGGAGCATCTCTGAAGGGGTTTCCCAAGCTGCAGAACTCCTGTAGGATTAGCTGAGGTCTGTGTTGCAACTGCATGGCAGCTTCCTCTTTCTCTGTCTAGTCCTGCTCCTGTCACCTCTCCAGGGTGACATTCCCAAGGGCACACCCCAACAACCCTCAGTCATTTTCCCAAGAAACCCAACTACGAAACCTACCAGGACCCCAAAGACCTTTCATGAACACTAATTACAGAGAATGAGGATGTCACCATAAAAGTACATATTAAATGTACTGGGTCTTGGAACAAGATGAATCACACTATCTCAAGTTCTAAAACTGGGAACACAGGGATGTTATAGACAGTACCCATGTTATCTAAAGGATTGTGGACTTATTAAAAGAGGCACAGCAAGAACACAGAGAAATGTGTATATTAAAGTCAAGAACAAGAGTCGAGTGCCGATAACTTCCAGTTCTGCATAATTCAGATACAACAAGCCATAGTTATTTCGGCTGGTTGTTTTTGTCCCTACCTCCTCTGCTGCAAGGCTGCTTGGCAATGTTCCTTCATGAAGACTCTCCTCACTGAGTGGGCAGGAGGGAGAGGGGACACAGCGGAATGGGGGTGGGGGGTGTGGAAAAAAAGGGAACACCAAAAGATGCCTGTGTCCTCACTGCCACCTTAAGGGTTCTTTGAGCATTAAGACCTCTGTTTTGTGTGCATTTTTTTTAAACTGCTGACACTATATCAATAAAACGGCTAAATGTGACCATTTCAAATTACAGGCCACCGGTACTAGTTTTAATTGGGCAAAACTCTGGGGCTCATTTTGACTTCTGAAAGAAGTGAAATTACCCGTCTCCTTTTTCTTCTTCAGATGTAGGGATGTACACCCTCTATCACCTGTGGTTCTTTGGTATATATAATATATCTTTTTTTAAAAAAATTATTCTATTGTCCACTATGTAATAAAAGTGATGCAGAATATTCCAGGTCTTTTCTGCTTTTTTTTTTTTTTTTGTGTGTGTGATAAATACGCTTTTACTAAGATAAACAGGCAACTTGAACATAGGAATAGAAAATATTCAAATAAGGAAAGTACTTGCAGGGACTGTGCTGCAGATGAATCCAATTAGCTCCAGGCTTAAAAGTCCACCTTAAAACTACTGCTAGTTGTTGTTATATGAGAAAAACAAAACAGGGCTGAAAAATGAAAAAAGTTCCTGTTGCCACATCAGAGAGCAAGGCCCATTAGATTCTATCCTGCATGTGGAGACGTCAAAGGAATTCTTTCTCATGCTTTCCTTCCTGGCCTTCAAAGAGCTCCTGTGACTGCTTTGGTTTCCAGTGCCCACATCTTTCCTGCTAAAGCCTTGACCCATCCATCCGGCTTTCTCTGGCCCTTTGTTTCTGACAACCACACGGGCCTGTGTAATTTCCCATGTTGCTTCTGACCTGGCGTAGCTATTGCAAGTTCCCAGAGTTCCCCTCCACTATCTGTTCCTTTTCTTTTTTATTTTTAAGATTTATTTATTTATGATTACAAGAACTGGGGTACAGGCCAGAGGTGTGGGAGATGGGAGGATTCACCACAGACAGAACAGGGAACAGAACAGCCAGATAGAGTGAAGTACACTGCTGAGGGGAGCAGCAGGCGAGACAGGAGAGGTCTGTAGTGTAATGTGGGCAGCTCCCTGGCTGGGGATCTAACTCGGGCTGCAGAGGCTGCGGACAGCCTCTCAGCACTGCACTCAACCCCCTGCACCACCAGGGAGGCCCTATCTGTTCCTTTTCCCCACCAATCCTCAATCACATCTATAACAAGCCCTGTCAACCCTCTCCCTGGAAAAAAAAAAAAAAATCTGTTTTAAAAGGTGTTCCAGTCACCTATGAACACTTTCCCCCTTCTTTTTATTTTGAAACATAGAACAGTTGAAAAGAATAACAAAGAACATATATATCCTCCACCACCATGACTGTTAACATTGTCACATTTTAATACTTTCATATATATAATCTCTATATAAATCTATTTCTCCATTGTGTGTGTGTGTATGTATATATATATATATATATATATATATATATATACATACATACATATAGTCATACACACACGAGTTTTGTAAAATTTTATACAATGTTTTGGTTGAGCCACTTGAAGGTAAATAACAGGTGTTATGGCACTTCATTCCCTAACTACCAGAATAGGATATTTTCCTAAGTAACCTGAGTAGTTTCACACCTAATAAACCAAACAATAGTTCAATATCAGCCAATATCCAGTCCATATGCATATTTCCCAAAGTGGCCTCAATATTTCTTTCATACTTTCATTTTTTCAAGCCAAGTACCAATCAAGATTTGCCCATTCCACTTGTTATGCCTTTTGTCGCTTAATCTAGACCAGTCCCCTAACCTTTTTATTAACATTGACCTTTTGAAGGACTCAAGCAGGATTTTTATAGCATGTCCCACATTCTGGATCTTCCCTCAATTTCTTTTTATTTGTTCCCCTAGCCCCATATTTACTATAAACTGGAAGTTGAATAAAAGGCTTGATTACATTTAGGTTAGGCATTTTGGGCAAAGTTTAATAGATGATGCTGTTACTTCATGCTGTATCAAACCAAGAAGATTATAAGTCAAGTTGTTTATCACCATTAGTGGTGCTAAATATGGTCACTAGCTTAAGTTGATGACTGCTGAATTCTTCATTATAACATATATTTTCATCTTTGTAATAAGTAATCTGTGGGTGATACTCTGACATTGCGAACATCTTTTTCTGTGTCTCCTTTTACAAAATGGGTTTTAGCTTCTGTTGATGACTGTATATAGTGATTTTTTCCAGTTCTACCATTCCATCTATTGATACATTAATTTGCTGACATTCTTCTAAAAAGAAAAAAAAATCCTATCTCCCACCTTTGATTGTATCACTCTGGATTTATGAATTTAAAAAAAAGTATTAAATTCTTTTATAATCCAACCCAGTCACAATTCTTAGTGCCCAAATTGACTCACAGATTGTCAACAGAGACCCCTCAAACTGGTTTTTATGAGCTTTTGATTGATACCTTTAGTGTGGGAGCATGCTCTTGATTTCTGGCAAAATGTTGCAGGCACATCTTTATATTTTTGTACTTTCTGGGCCTGAGACCCCAAATCAAACACTTCTTTAAGAAATGCTGTTGCCTTTTATTGGGTAATGGTATTTAGATATCAAAATATGGGTATCTTTCACAGGGGGTAACATTACTTCTAAGAAATATACATATAAACAATTCTAATTCTAATTCAAATTTCACAGCAAAGGCCCCATAGCTTATTTCATACTTTTATTTCTTTCTCCTTGACTTTTAACTAACATAAATATATTATTCACTTTACAGTAGACATAGATGTTTCAAAATTATATTACCAATAGTACCACTGCAATCAATCTGTGATATTTGACATTTGGCGTTTTTACCTTTTGCTCTTGAAACATATTCCATTAAGAATGCATACAAGAGGGCCTCCCCGGTGGCACAGCAGTTGAGCGCTGGGTTGCAAAGCTGCCCGCAGCCTCCACAGCACCGGTTCGATTCCCAGCTGCTCCCCGGCCACCGGAGGAGGGTCCCACATGGCGCTCAGACCTCTCCTGCTGCCCGCTGCTCCCCTTCTGCCTGTTCTGCTCCCCGCTCTGGCTCTGGTGAATTCTCTCACCCAGCACTTCTGATTGTACCCAGTGTTTATATAAATAAATAAATAAATCTTTAAAAAAAAAAAAAAAGAATGCATACAAAAGTACTATTACATCCACTTTTGAATAGTTCTAAGTAACCTTGACTCTGCTATTTCTGGTCCCTATAAAGTTTTAGGTTACAATCTTTGTCAAACTGAAGGAATCCTTACTTTCTGTTTTTGTAGTGTATTTTCAATTCTTCAGTGGTACAGTGGCACATTTCTGTTATTTAGTAATACACCTGAAAAACAGAATAGCTGAAAATGTACATCCTAAGACTAGTAAGACAATACAAATTTAAGTGGACAAACCAAGATTGCTGTAACTGATGACCTCCTACATTGACCAGCTTCCATTGAAAGTTGTTTTTCCATCAACCTTAAATAGACAATGCCACCTAAGAGTCATCCTGAGATATGTTTTCTAAAACTATATCCAAAACTAATCCAAAAACACTCAATAAGAGCAAAAAGTCCGTAGATGGCCCTGCAAAACTACATGCAAACATTCAGAACACCTTTTATGCCTAAAGTGGGCAAAGGGCATAAGCAGTTACTATGACTATGTTCACATCTCTAATTCATCACTTAAAGCATCTGTCAAGAGAGCACAAAAAAGTGAGCAGATCTGGGGTTACTATTAGCAAGGAAAGGATACAATAAATGCTAAGCCAAAGAATGCAATCTCTCATTTAACTCAACACATTAGTTAATTACATATTCATGTGGAGCTACCTTTGGCAATGCATTTACTTTTTGAGTTAAAGGAAATAGCTGTATATTCTGATAAGGTGAAATCTTTATGTTCTATTTTCTTACAGGTTTCAACAAAATAAATTCCCAGTTAAAAGAACTAAGGGTTTTAGATACTGCTTTTTGAAGAATAAACACAATTAAATGTGAATGTTTTAAGAAAAATTGCAGTGAAAGTAGATTTTGACACTTCATTGGAGGTGGTATTTCAGAATTCCTACTTGAAATAACACTTAATCAAATCTTATATTTGGCTCTAATTTTGTCTTTAATACCACATAGAATCATCGCGAAAATTAAATGATTATGTAAGTAAAGTGGTACAATTGTTCTCTTTTAATTCAACAGTTTTTCTTTCTAAAAAGTAATCTATTTTGCATAGGAGAGATTCAAAACAATCCTGAAAACAAGCTATCACAATGATATACAATGGGACATACAATAATAAATATTTGCCTATTTTTTGATCTGGGGGCTCAAGAAGAGTTCCCATTTGAGAGATTTTTACACAAGTGCAAAGTTTATACTTAAGGAAGATGCTCTGAGCATTAGTTCTTAAAATACACAATTAGAATAAGAGCAGTTATAAACTACACTATATTTTAAACAAATTTCTACCCCCAGTAAAGTATCCGCAGTTCCATTCAGATTTGCCTTCCCTCTTATCTCTAGCTATACACTGCTGCCCCCTACAGCATTTTCGATTCTCGCAGGTTGATTGCTATCCCAGCCGCACTCACCGGGCTCTAGTTTAGCTCTATAGGTTATATGACTCTATATGAGGGATAAGTTAGTGTATGTCGAGAAAAGGGAAAGCCCCAAACACAAAAATAAAAAAGAAAGGCTCGAAGGCGTTAAAGCATGATGTTGTTACTGTCCAAGAGTTAGTCCAACTGAGAACAGGGCCTTCTTAAGGGTCAATAAGAGTACCTCAATCCTTCAGGGAATGTTCTTTCCCAGCATGCATTATATATAGAGTCTTTGTGTGTCAGGCCTTTACCTTTTTTTTTTTTTTTTTTTTTTGAGATTAGTGTACATGTATGAAAAAGAGTAAACTGAAAAAGAATCATCATTGGAAACTGATTCCACTGGCTTCCACTCCACATCTCTATGTTTGTGTACCCATTCACAAATAGGATATGATTACAAACATACATGCTTAATGCACATTTCTTCTTAAAGAAAGTGTAAGTATTGATCCTGCTCTGCTTATCATTCAAAACTGTAATTTGGAGATAGTCTCCTATCAGGGGAGATTAACCTATGTAATTAAAACTAAATACGTTCTAATAATGAGTTATAAATAAATCTCCTTTCCAAAAGCTTTGCCACAGTTTAGTTTCTGTTGCTACCACTTTTCTACTTCTTTTTTAAAATATTTTTTAAATTTTTTAACATCATTGTTCATTTTTAAACAATATTTGCTTCCCCCCACCCCCTCAGGTGTAGTCCCCAGAGTTTCCTTCACCAATGCACCCGGGCACCATCACGTCAGTCCCCCGTGCTCCTCCCTGCCTCCCTCTGATCCCTCTCCCTCCTCCTCCTCCCCTGCAGGATGTCTCTGATTTCTAATTGTCCGTTTTTGCTTTGTTGTGTTTTGTACTGTTATTTTTTTACACTGATGTCTTATTGGGTTCCCCTATATTCCTGCTGTAAGTGAAACCATCCGATATTTTTCTTTTTCCTTCTGGCTTATTCACTGAGCATAATGCCCTCTAGCTCCATCCATGTTGTTGCGAATGGCGTTTAAGTTTTTGATTGCTCTTTTTTGATTGCTGAGTAATAGTCCATTGTGTGTCTATGTTTATTGCAGCACTATTTACAATAGGGAAAACCTGGAAAGAACCCACCAATAATAGATGATTGGCTCAAGAAGATGTGGCACATATACACTTTCCTATTTCTATGAAGCAGCGGTTCTCACACTTGGGCGGACGTCGGCATCTGCGCAGGGCATGTTAAAACAGGATGCTGAGCCACGTCTAGAGTATCTGATTCAGGAGGTCTGGGTGGGTGTCAAGAATGCGTAATAGATTACCAGGCGATGAGGACACCGTGGGGACCGCACTTCCGAGAAGCCCCCGGAGAAGGCTGCGTTTAATGCCGTCCCTCCCGCCTCCCGACACATGAGGCCCGAAAAGGAACAAGAGGTTACCCCCCCACTCCGGAGGAAGCTCCCACACCCAAACAACCCCACACCTCGCGACTACGAACCGGAACTGAGACGAGACTGACCTACATCCGGCGCCTCGCGCAGCCCAAACACGCCACTTCCTCGTTGCTAAGCCCCGCCCACCCCGTGTCCCCAACGCGCTTCAGGGCGGGCGGCCCAAAGAGCGCTAAGAATCACGTGAGTCGAACGACATCTCGCGAGGATTTTTAGGGCTTTTCGTTCTCGCGAGACTTCACCGGCCTCCGTCTTTTCCTCCTTCACAGTGCCGGGCTTTCTTCCCCTCCCCCTCGCCGCCGGCCGAGTTCTCCCTCTTCAGATCGTGTATCCCTGTCGCTGCGGGGATTTTTCCTGCTGCTGCCGCTGTTGCCGCCGCCGCCTGTTGCCCCGGCCCCCTCCCGTCGCCCCGCTCCCGCCCCCGCACAAGGTAACAAGCCCGGAGGGGCGAGCAAGGCCTCACTGGGCCTCGGCCTCCCCCGACTTGGAGTGGAGGCCCGAGGCCGAGGAGCCGGCGGCGCCGGAGAGGCCTGGCGCCGGCTGGAGGAATCGCGGCCGCCGCCTCCCGGCGCGGGGCCTGGAGCCGCCTCGGACGGGGCTGGCGCGACTTGCCGGCTGACCCGGGGGGCCTGTCGGCGGGGCTGGGACCCGGGGGGCCTCTGAGGAGCACCCTCGGCCCCTCGGCAGGAGCCTTCAGGGTGTGGGGCTCCCGCCCCGCAGGGACCCGCTCGGCTCGTGTCTTTGATTTCCCTGGAAGCTGATGCTTGAATTTCGGGGTCTTAAAAAAAAAAAGGCCAAGTTGTGGCGGGTGTGGAGGGGCTGGGCGGCCGGGCGGAGGGCAGCCGGGCTCGCCCCGACTCCTTTGGAGCCTTTCCAGGTTCTAGGCTGTCGTTGGACTGGAAGTTCTGGGAGGGGGGTCCTCGGGAGCGCTGGAGGCTTGGTTGTAAATCAAGAAAGGAGTCTATTTTATTTCCAGGAGAGGAAGAGGGAGTGAGCCACATTTGGTGAATGGCACATTTCTTAGGATGCCAGATGGGAGAGTATTTGTGATGTTTTTTTATCCAGGTAACTGGATGGAAGCTTTTTGCCCGGTAGAAGAGCTTCTAAACACACTCTCTTACCCGACTAGCTCTACTAGAGTTATTTGTGCAGTTAATCCAAAACTATTCTTCAGTGCTTAAAAATATTTCTTCTTCTTGTCACTCTTCTATTCCATTACTACTTATGAAATTTATCTAAAATGTTTATAATCTTCAGAATCTACTAATTTGAAATTTATGGTTTGGCTCACAGCTTTTCTCTGAACTATAAGTAAAGGTAATGATGAGGATGACGCTACATTAAGTTACAGTATACTACAGTGAGTTTGGAACAAAACTGGTAAGGATTAATTCAGGCTGACAGGGAAGTTACTTTTTCTGGTTGGCTAAATTTGGTTCAGTTTTCACGGTCTTAACCTTTTTGTTTTCCCCAGATGTCGGAGGATCTAGCAAAGCAGCTGGCAAGCTACAAAGCTCAACTCCAGCAAGTTGAAGCTGCATTGTCTGGAAATGGAGAAAATGAAGATTTGCTAAAATTAAAGAAAGATTTACAAGTAAGTATGAGGGACACTTATAGTTAAATTGCTTGAAAAGAGCATTTCTGTCTTTCAAATGATTTATTGCTTAGAATCTATAGGTACCCAAAGGATACCCAAACATGGATGGATCCAAAGGATCCTTTGGAAGAGGGTGTTTCTCCTATGGAACTCCTTTGCATTTGTACACATGTATCTGCACATGGGCCTTCTGATTTGTAATAGAGTTGCTTCCTCACTTTGTATACATCAGAATGAGTGAAGCATTATTCTTTGTTATGTAAATCTTATATGCTGGTAGAATTTTTAAAAATAAGAGTTGGTTAAGTCTGTCAAACTGTCTAGGGAAGAGTTACATATAACTTCATAATGGAAAGTATTTTTTAAAGATCTGGCCAAGAAAATTATTTCAGGAGATAAATAAACTTAAAGGAGAATAGAACCTGATTGAGATTCTTTTTAATACCACAGGATTCTTTGAAAATGAAGTGTGTCCATTTCAAAGCTAGCCTGTAACACCTTGTATTGAAAAGACATAAAAAGGTCTAAAAAGTTACTTGCTTTCTGCTTTAGAATCACAGTGTTTGAACTTAGGCTAGGTTTTACAGTGTGGTTGTTGACACTTGTTGAAGTTAAATTTAATAACTCCAGGTAAAAAGGAGATCTTAATTTGTTTTGTCATGCTAGAGTTTAGTGGTGTGAAATCGGATTTTTAAATCTTGCTGTGCTGAGTTTCAAGGTAAAGATAAAACTAACAGTAAATAATTATTGTTTCTCAGAACACCAGGTTGATTAATAAATAGACCATGTATAATATTAATGAATATATCTGACTTCAAATCCTAACAAATTTAAGAACTTGAAATTTTGAACCTGATATTTTGAGTTTCCAAAGGTCTTTGATTAGGTGGTCTCTCTACTGATTCAATATAAAACTTGACTCTTCAGCCTAAGTAATCTTTACCTTTATCATCATCTTGCCCATTAAAATTACTAATACTTAGAGATTGTAAGCAAATGAAATTTATTTGAAATGGGATCCATTATCTGGGCATAATTAAGAAGAGTTTAATATTTTCAGGTTCAAATTTCTGGATTTAGGGTAAGTTTGCAATAGTATGTTACTTTCTAAACACAGAAAACAGGACCCTTCTACATTATGTAGAACTTAGGCCAGTGGATTTCAGGGTACCAGTCAATAAGAAAAAGATGTTTTAGGAGCATTTTCTTCCATTCCTAGGCCAACTTTCTGCTTGCCTCAAAAAGGGATCCTGACATTCCCCATCTTTTACCAACTTAAAAGGAGTCCTTTTTTCCTTTGAAGAAGTGAAAACATTGTATGTGTCAGTGTTATGTGTATTGCTTCCTGGGCAGTGGAGAAGTACATGTGGAACTGGAGGAGGAGGAATTGGGAGTAAAGATTGAAATTGCATCATTAGTTATTTTTTGTATTTCTAAGATAAATTGTCATTGGAGTCTTGGCAGTATTGCCTTACCTATGACATGATTTATAATAGAAAGTACTGTAGGAAGATCATTGTGGCAAGCATTGTAGTAAACATACAAATGATTACTTAGGATTTAATTAATAATCACGTCGGGATCACTTATCTGTAAAATCCTCTGTAAAATTCCTCTTCTACAACCATTTAGAACAGCACTGTCCAACTTTCTGTGATGTCCATGTTCTGTATCTGCTGTGTGATACCATACCACTGGCCTGAATATTTACAATATGTCTTCAGTTGAAGAACTGAATTTTTAATTAAAGTCACATGTGACTACCGCATTGGCTGGCACAGATTAAAAAACTTAAGTACTAACATTTCAGATAGTTAATGTAGAATGTTTTTTCTGATCAATCTTGATCATGGTTTCTTTAATTCTATCATAAAACAAACAAAAACTTTTTTTTTCCATTTTTGCTATTGGCTATAGGTCTGTTGGCACTGAAAATTCAAAAATGGAAGCCATAATTTAATATTAGATAAAATAGTGAACAGTGTTAGCTATCTGCTTCTACCTAATAATTGTTGTTTCCATTGAGTATAGATATGGCTACTATCTTGTGGGCTTTTAAAATTTTTTCTCTTTGCTTTCTGTGATACACCTTGTGCCATTGATACTACATTCTGCTTTTCATATTTGCTAAAAAATCTGTTTAGATTGATGACTGAGTTTGTGGCCTCCTTATTGTTATAATTTGGATCATCTTATGGCATCTAATTTCATGTGTTCCTCTTATAGAACATTATTACCCCGGTTATAAATTTGTTTGCCATTTCACATATGACAAAATACTCTGTACTCTTTCTGCATCTTTTCAGTCAACTTCCATTTTGCCAGTAAGGCTTCCTTGTTTTTCTCTTTATGTACTGTCTTTCATACAAGATGTAAAGTTACTCAGCAGGTTGCAAATTCATCTACTGAAGTCCTAATTGCCTTTTTTGTACACTTGAAAAAGTGAGTATACTAAAATACAGGCTAGCTAACTGACTAGCTCCCCGGGCAATATATGATAAGCACAAAAATAGTCAATTTATTAGGCTGTTTTGCTGAATAAACTGGTTCTAAAGGAGGCAGGGGTCAAGTCACTTGTCTCATATATTACAGTGGCTCTCTGCATCCCCGAAACGCCTTCCTTCAGTAAGCAGAGTGTTTGAGTGCACCCCCTTTGACCTGCTGATATGTAGATCACAACATCTGATGCTTCCTGGAATTGCCGATTACTATAACTGCTGCCCATCTGTCAATGAAGGAGCAGTTTCAGAACTCAGACTTGGGGGAGGAAAAGTAATTAATGGTATGTACCTTTAAGAACCCCCTCATACATGAAATAGTTTCTCTTAATACTTTGGGCCATATGCACATGTGAAGAAAAAAAGTTTACAACATTCTTCATGGTTTGTTGGGAGGGGTATGTAAAGTATAGCAAAGTGAAAGAGCACTAGGAATAAATGCTCTGGATTTTTAAAATGTCAGTACAGGCTTATGAGGATTCTTTATATCATGCACAACTTTTCAGGACCCTTTTCTTTGGTGAAAATGTTTTTCTTTATGAAAATATAATGGGAAAATGTTCTATCTTAAGAAAAGTAGAGCTCTGAATCTGAGACCTACAAATGCAGAATTTATATTCATGCTCGAGTAGTTAAATGATCCCAAGTTAAGTAGCATTATTTAATGATAGGGATTCTATGGGTTCTTGAGTCAGGCTTACTGGATCATATTATTATATGCCTGTATATTATATATGCCTATATATTCCTGACCCTAAAGTTGGTTAATTAAAAACAAGATAATTTACTCTGCCTTGTGTAGTATGTGATCTGTTTATTTAGTTTTTTGCTTTATTTGCAAAGCATTATCTAAGTAAAAGATAATTAAATGGCTACTTGGCACCTAATTAAACTTCATTAAAGATACCATTCTACTGACTATTTAGTTCAAATCTGAGTCTTCCAGGTCTTTTTTTGGTTCACAAAACTAACCTTTCTCCAGGTATTTAATATGTCCCCTCCCTTTTTTTAGGCTCAAATACTAGTTTTTCAGAAATAACCAGGAACAGGAATCTTTAGGAGAGAGGTAGTATTTAACTTTCTTAGCTGCTGAACCCAAACTATTACAACTCTTCAGTGGGAACTAGAAGAAACTGATACAGAGTTTAACTTTGCTAATTTTTCTCTTTATGTGCAATAGTGGGGGAATAGGTAAACAAGTTGTTATAGTAAATAGATTTTCACGAATAAATGGATCTTCATTAAAGTAAATATATGGCAGACAGGTAGTAGAATCTACTTGTACTACTTTCTAGCCAGGCCTACAAAGTTACCTTTTAATGAAGTAAAAAAGTGTAAGTTTGAATTAGATTATATATATATATATATGTATGTGTATATATATTTACTACACAGAAAGCATTGGTAATCTCTTTACCCAGGTGGGGTAAGTTTTATAGTAAGTAGGAGTCAACTGCTTTTTTATGCCTATAGTGTTTTAGTAGAGTATGTGATAAGAACACTTAGTTACTAATACATCCGCTTTGAGTATTTGGGGTGGGGGGGTAGGCTTACTGGCCAGGCAGTTAGTGTTACCAAATAATGCCCTATAAAACAGTACGGTTGCATGATATATGTATGATAATGGTAAGAGGTAAAAGTGATCTTAAATCTAGTTCAGTCCCTCATAATTGACTGTTTTTCATCTTCAGAGGGAGCTAGTCAGCTAAAATAGGTGCTGAGAAACAATTCATGGTATAAATGCAAGCCTACCCTAATTTTATAGTTTTTATGCTTAAGTTGAAAAGCAACTGTCCGGGTTTAAACTTTCGTTCTACTACTGTGTAAGACATACCTGTTTCTACTTGGAGATAATAACTTCATAATATCTAATACTTCATACTGTTGCTGTGAACTACAAGTAAATATGTGTAAAGTACTTACTAAGTGCTGTATGGTGTGAAAGCTGTCATCTTCAAAAACAATTTACTTGCTGAAGAGTTGGTGAAAATATGATTAAAATAAAGTTACGGTTTTTGTTTTCCATTTTTTAGGAAGTCATAGAATTGACAAAAGATCTTCTGTCAACTCAACCTTCTGAAACTCTTGCAAGTTCAGACAGTTTTGCTTCTACTCAGCCTACTCATTCATGGAAAGTAGGAGACAAGTGTATGGCAATCTGGAGTGAAGACGGACAGTAAGTGTAGAAAAAACTCTAACTATAACATGAAATGATAAAATACAATGGTAAGATGTTTTTATTCAGTTTGAACTACCCTATTTTAATCTTTATAACCTACATGATTTATCCAACCAATTTGATTCTTGGGTGGTCGCCACCAAGATAGCATAGTTTCTAGCTGTCGATTAGGTTTGGGGTAGAAGAACAGCGTGGATCCTAGAGGAGAGATCTCTCTGTTTTGAATTTGATTTGAAAATGGGCTGGTTGGTGTTTTAGACTCTTGTTAAGCGCATACACTGAAATTATTTTTGTAAGAAATACCTGTTCTCAGAGAAATGGACTAGAACACAGTTAGGGGACATGAGGCCCTCCTGGCGGCACTTTGACGGCTTCCTTCTGTGGTAGTAGGTGGCCGACTGCAGCCACTGTTTTTTACTGTCTTTGCTGAAAGGGCCATTTAATTAGTGTTGTGTTGTAGACCATGTCCTAGCTGAGTCACTACACTGTAAGATCTTGGCAGCGGAGTACTGGACCTCTACTCACCTGCTTACAGCCATGATATCTCTGCAGGTGTTACGAAGCGGAGATCGAGGAGATCGACGAGGACAACGGCACGGCCGCCATCACCTTTGCCGGCTATGGCAACGCCGAGGTGACCCCACTGTTGAACCTCAGGCCCGTGGAGGAGGGCAGGAAGGCCAAGGAGGACAGCGGCAGCAAGCCCATGTCCAAGTAAGTGTCCTTACATGGTGTTGGAGATGCAGTCTCCCATTCAGGTGTTCATGCAGTCGCAGAGTTACGCCAGCTGGGTTGGGGTCAGGGTAGGAAAATTACTATTTCTCAGCAGTCTTTTGAAGGTTGGCAGCACCTGCTCAGCACTGTTAGATGTACTCCTAGGAAGGTGAGACACTTGGGTTCCACCCAGGCATCCTGTGTTTGTTTATAAGAGGACACTGCACTTCACACTAAGCCAGGTGCTGAAGCTCCTCCACAGTAAGGAAGATCTACTTGGATCTGTCCTGACTGATTTTATAGACTAGAGAACATGCACATAATCAGAGAACTTTAATAATAAACTATGGAAGATATGAACGGAATATAATGGGTACTCGAAGGGACGAAGGAAAGGTACCTAAATTTCATGGTAGTCATCAGGGCAGATATTTTTGAGAATATGACATTGAAACTGAAATTTCAAAAGTAAAACTTAGCCAGGCAACACACCAGAGGTTTGACCTTGGTTAAGTGGCTTGACTTTTGCTTCCTTGTCTGTGAAACAAGGGATGATAGTATCTGTGCTACTGGATAGTAGGATTAAATTGTAGCATTAATAATGCACATAGTGCAGTTCTTAACATATTGTAAGACCTCAGTGTTTGCTTTCAAAAAAGAAAACAAAGGGGGAATGTAAAGCTATAGTAGAAATCCCTGTGGTATAAATTTTGGACTCAAGCATGGTTGGTTTGACAGGAGAAGAGGTTAGAAAGATAGAGATCATAGAGCTTGAAAGCCACCGGTGCATTTAGAGTAGAGGAGAGATAGATAATCATTTGAGCTGTAGAATGGTCCCTGGCAGCAGAGAAGGCAGGTACTGCTGTGATCCAGATATAAGATGATAGTGACAGAATAGCACTGAGGGTGGAGAATTGCGTGGCTTAACAGGTATTTCATGTGTATGATTAGTAATGTTTTGTTTCATACATGCTACAGATTGCTTCCTTTTGGATGTGTCAAGAATTTAAGCTGCTACATAAATAAATTTGAATTTGGGAAAATTACATCTATTAAAATAACATTTGAGTACCCTAATAAAAAAATCACATTGCAGAACAAAACATTTTATTTTAGCTTCGTGTGGTGGTGATTATGTGATAGAGGAGTAATTCTTACTGCCTCTTATAAAGACCTTTCTGCATCCTTTTGCTGAGAAGTCAGATTAAGCAGAAATTGAGATAGCTTTAGGCTCTTGATCCTGCTTAGTGTTTAGAGTAAACCCTGATTTTTGTTTTAAGAATTGTTCACTGATTTCCTTTTGAGCTGCTGTGCTCTTTCAATCTAGTTGAATTTGCATGACTCTATCCATACATTTTTTCCCCAAGTTCAGAATATTGGTGTCTATTTGGAAATTAATATTTACGCAGTTATAAATGTTGAAATCCTACACCCAAAACACAACTGGGAAAAATGTATATATGCCATAAATAAAAAGTTACATACATGTTTGATTTAAATGGGTAGTAGTTATGCTTGAAAGGTAGGAGTTGCGGGTGATTAGTATTGATGTTAGTGCTTTTATCCATTGAGTAAACAGTGTGTATGTTTATTAGGCCCCCCCCCAAATATCTCTTAAAGAAGTCATCTTAAATCTTGAGTTGACATTTTACTGTTATATTCACACAGAAAAGAAATGATTGCTCAGCAGCGTGAATATAAAAAAAAGAAAGCTTTGAAAAAAGCACAGAGAATAAAAGAACTTGAGCAGGAAAGAGAGGACCAGAAAGTGAAATGGCAACAGTTCAACAACAGAGCCTATTCTAAAAACAAAAAAGGCCAGGTTAGTAAATTCTTTCATTATACTTTGTACTTTGAAAAGTGCAGCTACCTTTGAGAAAGATCTTTAAAATACGTAAATGGATCATGAATTCAGAATCCTCTTCAATTTTCTTTTTGGTTTTATTGAAATATATCTCCAGTAGTCACTGTTTCTGAACTAAAAACACTATGAGTTTGCGTCAGGAATTTAAAAAAGATTGAAGTTCTGTGAACTAAAACTTGAAAAATTAGTTGCTGCCTTATATACCACGAGAGGCAGTGTTGAACCTGCTTTCTTAGTGTGCCTTATGCTGGGCACCACTGCTAGGTTTTATTTAAAAACCATTTGAGTTCCATTGATGCATTTTTCTTTCTAAATCTATTTTGGAGTTTGTTTCCAAAACTAATCAGGAGTTGTTTCTGTTTTCATTTCCCCTAGGTAAAGAGGAGTATTTTTGCTTCACCTGAGAGTGTAACTGGCAAAGTTGGAGTAGGAACTTGTGGAATTGCTGATAAACCTATGACACAGTATCAAGATACCTCTAAATACAATGTCAGGCATTTGATGCCTCAATAATCAGAAAAACTGTTGGATTTCATCTCTGCAGGGCTTTACATTTACCTTTTTATCCTTATATTTTTCTAAAGGTAAATTATTTGTTAGATGAGTAAGGAAGATATCGTTGTTGTCAATGTTTGACTTCAATAGAATGAAACTTGAAGAAACTGCATTTGATAACTGCTTATTCATTTAACTTTTTTCATCACTACTACCAGTTTCCTCAAAGTTTGTTGGATTAAGCAACTTTTCTAGATCGATGTGCATAAACACAGCACTTAGATGAAGTGTTGACCTTCCTAATATCAGGCCCCACATAATGGCTGTTATATACCTTTTTAAAGTCCTAACTTGGAATTCCCAGATGCTTTGAGCTTGCCACATATTCTAGCAATTCACTGGAGAACACCAAGGTAAAACACCAACCTGCTAAAAAGATCTTTTCTTTTTTTTAAATCTTCAATTTAAACCTCTGTTGAACAAGGAAGCCTAAAGTAGGTTAATTTGTAAATGGAAAAGTTTGTTTTGAGGTTTTCTTTCAATAACTTGTCTCCTAAGCCTATTAAGCCATCTCTAAAACTGATCCAGCTCTTTTTTTCATTTCACTGAGTTTTAGTTTTATGTAAGAAACCATGTTTAGGACCAGCTACCTTTTCTAAGGGTTTTTGGTTTTTATATATTTGATTTTTCCTATGTTGATCTTTCACTTACGGTAGTGGTACAAGTTTTTGGATGTGTAATGTTTATATGAGAAAACAAAAAGCTGATGTATAGCCCTGTATACAATGTAGATACTATTTTTGTAAAAAACCAAGTCTAAATTAATGAACAAGAGTACTGAATGTTTCATCATTAAACTTAACTGTATTTCTTGTGCATTAATCTGACCATACTTTCCCTGTATATTATGTTCGTGTAGCTGAGTTTGTAATTTTTGTTAACTAGATCAAGTTGTCAGCATTTGTTGGTATAAGTGAACATCACAGTTATCCCGAGTTGAGTGTAAGCTAAACATATGCATAGAAAAGGATCTTCCTATTAATGGAAGATGGTAATTTTTAGGGTGTGCATTAATTTCAGTTTTTGTATGTTTAACTTTTATTAAATAAAATGTTTTTAAAATCTCCAGGGTGTGTTAACAGAAGGGTAAAATCTTTAGCTGTTAGCATTGAATGATTAAGCCACAATGTACTTGCACATAAAAGAGAATATTGAATATGTTAAAGGTTTCAATACATTCCTTTTGTATATCTTCCATTAGACATAAGAAATTGGATCCTAAAACAGAAAGTTTGTTCCATATTAAGGACTTGTATTGTGTATAGAAGTGTTTGTAAATTTTTGATGAAGGCGAAAACAAACTTTTTATGAATTTTGATTTTTGATAAACTGGAAGTTCTCGGAGGATAGTAATGAGGTACACTTTTTCATCTTGCCCCTCCTCACTCCCAACCCAGGAGATTAGTTTTTCTTCCTATAATTTATGACCACAGGTTAGGAGGGCATGTAGGATAGAACGAAAAACTGAAGAATTTGTTAAACACAGAGCACAAGTTACAATTGAAAAAAAGCTCAGTCTGGAAAATATACGCTAACATTCTTAAACTGTACTAGCCATGGAAAACTGCAGTGGAATCCTTTGAATTCAAAACCGGTAGGAATTTTGCTTAATTGTGTAACCACAAAAGGTTTTTGGCGAGATGACCGTGGTATGTCGGACTAGTAGTCATTTGGTGTTTGTGTAGGCAAAACTTGTACTGAGAATTGTGACTCTTTTGACCCTATGGGTCTTCTTTTCTGCATGTTCATTTTGCTGGAAGGTTTGAAGTAGGAGGGAGATAAGGAATAAAGGTGACCATGTTATATAAAACCTTTTAAATAGGTTTTAATATAAGATTATTAGTCCTTCTGTCAAAGGCCTAGATAATGGTCCTTTGAAAAGTCCTAGTGCCAGGATGATAGTGTCTCTGGACTAACTAAAAAGTAGGACCTTCTGGCATCTAGAGTACCTGTCACAGTGTGATGCTAAATTTGAGAAGATGCTTAATGAGAAACATAGTTATCAGTGGTATTTCACAAATGGTGATCAAGCTTTCACTATTCTAAAAGCAAATACTGACACTTGCTCATATGAAGCTTTGTTATAAAATTTAATGTAGTTTCCTCTGTCAGGAAAGGAAACTTAAGTCCTGAAAATAATTGAACCATTAAATGATTTATAGCTGCTGCTTGTTATTGGTCATTTCAAGGACAGAACAATCCTAACATTCCAAAAATAAGTAAACAGAATTTTCAATTTCAATAGTAACGACAGATAATGAACGCTATTTTATAATGCGTAGAAAGGTTATATTAGAAGAGCAAGAACTCTGGAGCCAGACTGCTGTAAATCCTGGCTCCTTCAATTAATCTATGTGCATCGCTCCTCTATGCTTGTTTTCTCAGCTGTAGAATGAAAATAGGTGGTTAAGAATGAGTACGCATATGTAAAGTGCTTAGTAGTAGAGTTCCTGGCATATGATAAGCTCTGTGGAAGTGTGGAAGTACTTGCTATTTTGCAGCACATGGTCATGGTTACTACCTGATACTTAAATGGTAACAGTTCACACTATAATGGATAATGATGCTCATTGTTTATGATTTGATGTCCCCAATTATAAATGTATTACTGAAGTGTTATCAAATTACCAAAGTTAATGATATATTACATTTTAAGTAAAGGTTTAATTTTTACATGAGAGTATCTTAAGGCATGTTTCTTAATGGGGGGGGGGATAAAGATTGCAATAAAAGTCACCCCTAATACTTAAAATTGAGAGGGAGTCCTGGATCTGGGTCTATCCTAGACCTACCTGTCCAGGTGAACATCTGCTTTTTGACGAACATGTGATCCCAGTGTTCATGCCTGATAGCAGTCTAATTTTTAAAATGAAAAGTACTTCTGCAAGCTGCAGTTTCCTTAAGTTATAAAGACTAGGCATCATACCAAAGTGAAATACATTTTCTTACTGTAAATCATTTTTTTTAATGCTTGTTGTCACAACAAAAGGATACGTGTTTCCATTAAAATGTAGTTTTAATGCTGAGGTAAGTCTGCCTTTAAATAGCAAGGGAAAAGCATCAGATAACAAAGGAAAATCGTAATTGAGTTTTGTGTATCTGCAGATTGTAATTATAAAAAATGAAAAAAATGCTATTTGCAAATTCATCTAAAGATATTTTTAAAGCTTTGTTTTGGTACTTGGCTATTAACTGAACTATGAAAGGAAGAAAATTAAAACCAACAAGGTTTTATAGTTGTTAAAATGGGTTCAATAAATATATGCTGAATTGTATTATTTGGATTATATTATGGAGCAACCAGCTAGTATTAATGGTAATTTACAAGTTCAACGGTAAATGTAAACATTTTTTATATCTAGGGTTTTTGAGTTGCAAGTTAAACTGAATTTTTACTGCAGTGGAGAGGAAGAGCAGAGCAGGCAAAATAACAGGTAATAATGTAGTTTAACAAAAATCCAAGTAATTGAATCCCTTTATCCTGTGACCTTTCAAAACTGATTTGTTAAAAAAGTATATAGACATCTTGTCTGTTAGATGGCTCAGAATGTCTTTTCTCACAGTATTGACATTCTATGAATTTGTTTTGGCTTAGCCTAAATAGTAAAAGAAAAAGTAAGATGAAGGTTTTAGATTTCCATGAGGTTCTTACTGTCTTTTCTGCCTTTCAACTTATGTTGATAAAGGTGGCCTTTTTCTGGCCTTGAGTGGGATAAAGCAGATCTGAGAAGACCACCCACTGGGCTTGTGCTAGTTTATAGTGTCAAATTTTGAATTTCCTAGTTCCCAGGAAATAAAAACTGGTAGGTAATTCACGTTCACCAAGCCCCTCTCACCATTCATTTTTACAAAATCAGTTCAGATTTACTAACTGGAATTATTAAAATTGTGGTTAATTTCCCCCCAGTTAATTTTTTTTTTTTTTTTTTTTTAAAGAAAGCACAGCTAAAGAAACCACAGTTCTACAAACTCATGAAGAGAAAAGATACTTTTTCAACTTAAGGCCCAAATTCATGGGTATTATTTTGCTCGCACATGATTTCCTTTTCTTGGTGAAACTGAAGTGCTTTTGTTTTTTCCCCTTTCAAGCCTTGTATTCACTCTAGCAAGATGCAGTGAATTTCTGACCAGAGAAAGAATCAGGCATGGAGGAAACCTTGACTATATCCTGGGAAAAGTAGAGTTGAAGTCTGAGACCTGCAAGCTAGGCTAGTGTTAAATAGATGGTAATTGTCCAGTTACTCATTGCTCAGGAAAGGAGGAGTAAGTATCCCTTCGATTCTTTCGCCTAGTTTTCCCTGGCAACAGTGCTGTCAGGTTTAGTTGACCTAGCTTTCAAGTGATGAAGTTGCTAATTTAGAAACAAATTACCTCTTAAACTTGGGGCTCTTCATATACATTTTAGAGATTTCATGACTTACATTTTTACAGTGTCCTGTGCTCTGATGTGAAAATCTTAAATGCCCAATTATTGCCTTACCAATAAAAAGTTAGCATTCCACCATAGCAAACAGCTAAGAACTTGGTGGAAGTGGGTGGTGGTAATCACAAAATTAAAGATAATTAGTTGGTAGTAATTGAAGAGATTCATTTATGCCCTTTCCTTAATAATTCATAACTATAGACAGCTAAAACCACCAAGAAATGAAGACAGCCAAGTATGTACATTTTGAACTACACTGATTATTTAAAGAATCTGATGTATCTCATAAATATACTTTATTATTAGATTTAGTACACTGGCCAAGATTTTCTTCTTGGCAAGCCCAACATTAAATATTAACTAGGGTGCTTAATTATTAATGCAATGATTACTATTTGTATGACTCAAGTTCAGGTTAGTTGTATTTTTTTTTTTTTTAGGAAGGCCAGGTAATCGCTAATACCAATGATACATCAGTCTTATAAAGCATTTATTTCAAACGTTCTATAGGACATCAAAATTAAATTCTTACAAAGTATAACCTGCCATGGAACTTTGTGAAAATGAACCATTTAATAGAAATAGTTCTTTTTCTGCAAGACCGACAGTCAGAATAAAATTCACGATTAAAGATGAAGCGATTAGAAGGTTGCGTTCATCAAAGAGAGTATAGAAGTACGTACCTCTTAGTTTCCTTTCCTTGCCACAAGCTCCTAAATTTAAGATGGGGGGGGGCGGGAGGAAGAGGGCAGTTACTTACATATGTCAGTTTTAATCCTTACTCCTTTCAAGATAGAGGTAGTATAACAACTTCTCGAGGTGGAAACCTGCTCCTTGAAGAAATTAAATACTTGCTCAGGGTTCTTAGAGAATTTGAGAACTGGGATTTAAATGTGATCAAAACCCATGTTTTTATATGCTGGTTTGTTAAGCAATATGGAATTTTTTTAGGTGGGATGGTAATAAAGGGGAAAGGCAGCTGCTGCTTCCAGTGGAAGAAAACCAACAGAAAAAAATCCTCCAAGATGATACACAATTTTCTCATGAGAAATGACCCAGGAGGGCCTCCCCAGTGGCGCAGCGGTTGAGCGCTGGGTTGCGAAGCTGCCCGCAGCTTCTGCAGCGCAGGTTCGATCCCCGGCTGCTCCCTGGCCACCGGGGGAGGGTCCCACATGGCGCGCAGACCCCTTTTGCCACCCGCTGCTCCCCTCAGCAGTGTACTTCTGCCTGCTCTGCTTCCCACTCTGGCTCTGGTGAATTCTCTCACCCTCCCGCGCTTCTGACTGTACCCGGTGCTTGTATAAATAAATAAAAATAAATCTTTAAAAAAAAAAAAATGACCCAGGAGACCATGGGGACTTAGGTTGGGAGCTCTGCTTCAATAAACTTCACTGCCTTTTAAAATCCCCTCATAATACTAAAAGTTGTTACTGCCATGTGGACTAGAAAAGGCATTTGTACCAGAGTTCTATTAAGTCAGATATTACAGTCACAATGACTTCATCAGAATCTTTGGTAATGCACTGAAATCAAACTTACCTGTGCCTATTTCTGTATCACTCAGGCATTTTGCATACAGGGTAACTTAACAGGTTAATGATAACTAAATTGGAACTTCCAACCTTGTTTTCAACTTGAGGAATAATATAGGAGTATCTTAAAAGGAGTATCTTAAAAAGTTTTTTGGAACACAAAATGTGTACTACCTGAAGCAGTTGAGATTATTAAACAATGTGCAGTTAAGACCTGTTAAATTGTAAAACAGAAAACAGCAGTGATTCAAATGACCATTAATTCTGGACTACTGATGTAGTTGCAACATAGACATTTAGGAAATAGGTGCCTCTCAAGGTGTAAATACTCTTCCCTATTCCTTCATAGAGAAGGGTGGTACAAAAAGCAATCGGGCATTCTTCATTCACAATTTTTATTACTTGCAATTAACTTTTGTATCTTCAAAGTCGATTTGTCTTTTAAAAAAAATTAATACTTCTTATCATACACTCCATCCCCTTCCCCCAAGGGAAACAAACCCAGGGAAGGAGTAATTTAGGGGGCAGGTGAAATATGTATAAGTTTGTGACAAAGGCTTCCCAGCCCACCATCTTGTATACATATGCAAAGTGGCAGCACCTCAAATTCACCAAATGAAGTCCCAAATTCCAGCCCTAGGCAAGTGAATGCAAGTGAATGCTATGGAAAACAACAAAATGGAAGCTTAGGCACTGGCTACTGTTTACTCTCCAGGGCAGTTAGCAAAGTTTTCAAACTGTCTCATTTGGGAAATTCAAAAGTAAGCAAACATATAGAGCAACATTTTGACAAGGCCAAGAGTAATAAATGGAAACAAATAATTTACCTGGGCCACTGAAATAAATTTGTTTTATGTTTAAGTCCCCAGCACCTGAAGTAGCAAGTTCTAATAATGGGCTTCTAAAAGCATGCATTTTTCACACACATCTACTTCAAAGAAGTTCTTCCACTCAAACATAGCACAATCAAGTATAAAATATTTTTGGAGGCACAGAAAGAGCACAAGAACAAGTAAGTATATGCCGAGGCCTTGTGTATGACCAAGATGGTAAACTTCATATATAGAAGCAGTGAAAGCTGTTAAAGTGCTACTTACAAGGATAGTCTAACATTACACACACAACTGCACTGCTAAATATGGTTGTCTTTATTTTCTTTTTCCTTGCCCAGCCCTATCTAAACAAAATAAAACTACAGGACTGAAATTAACAACCCATTAAAATCAGCAATAAGTTATGAAAATCATAAAGCTTTTTTTTTTTTTTTTAAGTAATTAAGGGTAGTTAAATTATTTAAAGTATACAAAGTCCAAACAGCCAGGGGTAAGGTCTCCAAGAAGGCTTCCTGGGGTAAGGGAGAGGGCCTGGGTGGAGGGACCATGGAGTATGAGAGACACAGGGAACACATGACATCAAAGTGCAGGCTAGAAATTTCACTTAAAAGAAAATAACATTTCTGAAAATATTGGTAAGAGCAACAATAGCACCTGCACAGTGGGACTGTGAGGAAGGAGAGAGACTGTAGGAAAACGGAAGCAAATCTTTACATTAAAATGAGACAAGTGCTGAACTTAATTAACTATGTTAACTATAATAGTGTCTACTATAAATATCAGATGGTTAAAAGCTGGTAAAAGGTAATGATTCTAAAAGAAAACAAAAACAGCATTGACCTTTTTTCTACCTAGCCCAGACCTCATTCATTTTGTGCACTATAAAGAGTGAGGTGTGAGGTGTTTTATCATTATCAAATGCTGCATCAAAATAGATGATTTTTTCTCCATGTGTTTTTCCACTATAAAAGACATCTATGTTTTTTATGGACAAGCTTATTTTAAAAAGATGTCATTTTGGTTTTCAACACATACAAACAGTTATCAAAATCTGAAATAAAAATGCTGCCGTGGCTCAGACCTTGGCCTGCCAATCTGCGTGCATAACTCTTCTGTCCCACACAGAGGCACGTGGGGCTTTTTCTGTCTGGCCCCTCAATCCATACTCATAGGCCCTGTGTGACAGAGGCTGTCAAGCATGGACTGCCCCCAAACTGCCCACCGGCCTAAGGGCAGCTGACCGTTGAGCTAGCAGTTGGGTGCCCTAATGCTAACAATGCAGGATAAGGTTAGCTTGCTTAGCATGGAATCCAAAAGAAAGCTGAGCTGCATGATGATCCCTTTCAAAAGGCTTCATGGGAGTCTCTCCTTTTGCAGAGCATGAAATGATTTTTTTTTAAAGAACTGATCATCCACAGGCTTCATGATAAGCTGTCCCAGGCTGAGTTTTAATAGCTCTTTAGCTATCTAAGATTAATGCCTGATTATCTTGTCATTACTATAAGGTTTGATTTTGTTTGTTTTTAGGACCATAAAACTCAGGAAAGGGTCATAATCCCATCCTTAAATGTGTATACTCAGTGGAGTATGAGCAAACTAGAAAAGGAGGATGGATCTCTAATGTCATCTTTCCAATCAACTAAATCAAATCAAGATTTCACACAAGTTCTCTGCTGCCATTAGAAATTACTATTTTCAAATACGTTGTTCTGCTAGGGAGGCTCTGCCAAACTTTTTGCAAAGTATTTGCTTTTAAATAGAGGTCCTCTGACCCTTTGTTCAAGTATATTTTGTGTTGTATTTAGTTTTAAAGAGGAGACTGCATCATGAACCCAATTTAAGAGATTGTTTGGATTGAATTGGCCCAGTGAACATTTTGCCCTGCACTGTTATGTCATGCTGGGTTCTAGGAAGTGAATGAAAGTTTGACACTGGCACTGGAGTAACCCTCGTCACTCCCAATACTCTGCAGGCTGCTGTGGTCATCAATGTCACTGATGCTGGTGGTACTGATATTGTCCACTTCTCCATGGGAGAACTCTGTGCTTTCAACATCCACTTCAATCTCCTCTGCCAAAGGAAAAAAAAAGAACATTAGCAACCTCTAGCATTTGTAAACTTTCAAAATGCAGTAAGACTGTAAGGAAAAGTGACTACTTTTTTTTATAGTATTAAATGATTGCTATACAAGATTATCATTATCTCTGGAGAACATAAGGAACTTCACGAAGGTGAACAGATGAGATGTATTCTGCAAAGGGGAACGTCTGGTGTACAGTGGTGGTCTCAATGTAGGCAGTAAGTTTGCTAAAGCCTTTGACGCCAGTCCGTCTGGACCTCCCACCAAATGTACTCAGCCTGTTTAGGAATTAGTGCTCAATATTAAAAGATCCCAACCCCAAGTGGTTTAACAACATCTGTTTTGCATTAAACTAGAAACTAATTCTCAATGCTGTTTATTAATCAGACTTGCCTTACAGGGGGAAAAAGCATACATTTAATATAGACAACTAGAAGAGTTAATTCATTCAGGCCTTTAGAGGTACCGTATAGTGGTATTCTACAGATAGGACTACACACTCCTAGGATTCATCTTAAAAGATTTTTGACTGCTAAGCAGCCAAAGTAAGTCAGGCATTGTAATGTGGACCCTGGAGGGTTTGTCTTCAACTCACTGAAGGTTTTTTACATCAAATACAGCTGGAAATGAGGGTCTGAGGCTTAAAATTTTATGGACTAAAGCAAAAACTATAGTTAAGATTATAATAAAGGCATTTCAGTAATGGTATTTAATTTCAAAAAAGAAATATGATTTAAAAACCATCCTAAATCCATATATGACCCAGTTATTGATAGATATCAAATATTACATACACAATCACCAATAATACATAAAAAATAAAAGACAGTTGAAAAACTGTTTTCCCCCCATAAGAACTGGAATTCATTTAAAATTTGTTAGTTCTCTTAAAGTAAACTCAAAATCTGATGTTTTATATTTGCCATTGGCTTGAGGGGTTCACGATGATCACAACTGCTTTAGAAAAAGTGAATTCTTTCTGAGCCCCAAAAAGACAAAACTATTTCAAATGGAGCAATTTTCAAAAGGGCTAACAGCTTCAAAAGTTTTAGTGACCTGTTTTTAACATGCAGGCAGGCAGCTGTCCAAACAAGCTGTACAAATAATACTGTTATTTCATAACTATTTGTTTCGTATCTATAATGCTTCACAGGCTCTCTAGTATTTCCCAGTATCACAGAACACTTATTCAGCCTACAACTAGATAATAAAATCAAGACACCCTATCCAACAAAGCATGCCGAACACAATCAAAACAAAGTAAGAGGCTGCTTTAGCTGCGTGCGTGGACTGGAGATGTTACTACAAGTCCCCTGTAACACTGAGAAGGTAGGTTGAGAACAAGTCTGGTACTCCAAAGGTACTGACACACTGAGTGCTCTTAATACACTGGGACTACCAAAAACCTGAGAACTCAGGGATGAAGGGAGGGCAGTTAAAACCTAGAGACCTGCCCGGGCCACACAACTTGTAAGGAGTGTTAGGAAGACTAAGACTGAGGACTGCCTTCTGATACGGCATATCGTTGAGATTCTTGCTGCCTCATGGACCTTTGTTCTTCAAAATTGAACCACATAAAAATAAAAATTTTACTAGCAAAACAAGAAATGCAAGAACTCCTAGGGTTGTGTTAAAAGGGGTCAAAGACCAGTATGAAACACTCCTACAGAACCAATGTGGGAAATCTGGGCATTAAAAGAAATAGAATGACTACAGTGCATTCAATACATTGAAAACACTTGTAAGTTCATAAAAAGCAAACAAAAAAAGTCCTGTCATCCCTGGAGGTTGCTGAGGCACCAAAGTCATTATTCAGAAAACTGACAAACAACAACAAACATTTACTCCACCTTCCCTTTATGGACTTTATTTCTGGGTAGCCAAAAAGTTGATGAAATGTTTTTCTTTATATAAAAGAAAAAGTGACAAATGCAAGAAGAATGACAATTTAAAAATCACTATTTTGTGATGATGAAAATGAACTGTCAGGACAACCATCATCAGTGATTGCAAAAACTACTAAGTGAAAAGTTGATACACTTACAGAAATATATCAAGAGGACACCCCAAGAACCCACTGACCAATCTTATCACTAGAGTGGGACAACCAGACACGATACTGATGGAACCAGAAGTACAAAGAACCACATGTGATATATTCTTGTTTAATAAAACAGAATCTAAATTGAATACAATAGATCTATCAACCAGATTTCAGGGATTATGAGGGACAGAAGAACATGTTAAATGGTGACCATGTGCATCACTCAGTCAAATCTAGAATGTGGGAATTTCTCTAAGAAAAGTGACCCAGTTTCCCAGTTCCTATAACGAATAAATAGCATCAGTTCTTGTATAAATAAATAAATAAATAAATCTTAAAAAAAAAAAAAAAAAAAACGAGGTACAGGCCAGATGTGCGGGAGGGTGAGAGTATTCACCAGAGACAGAGTGGGGAGCAGAACAGGCAGACTGACTGAAATACACTGCTGAGGGGAGCAGCGGGCGAGACAGGAGAGGTCTGCTGCTCCATGTGGGTATCTCTGCAGCTGGCCGGGATCAAACCCGCACTGCAGAGGCTGCACACAGCTTCACAGCACTGCGTTCAACCGCCTGCGCCACCAGGGACTCCCTGTTTTAATTTTTTATTTTAGAATTCTCAAGGTCTTATGAATTCTGTTTTCCAAAATGTAAAGCTTAAAATTACTGGAGTTCATCTCTGAGACCTTTTATTGTTGTGGGAAGCCTAATCTGGTAGAAGCTATAGATGAACAGATCTGTAAAATTCAAACAATTTCTTTCTGGGTAGATTTTTATTTCTGCTGAAGACAAATTGAAAGACAAATGAAGGGTGTAGAAATTAATTTATATATTTATTCATTTACATTATTTTTTTACTGAGTTTTTTACATTATTTTTTTACCTTACATTGGTAAGGGTTGGTACTTCAATAAAACATAACATCATGTATCTCCCTAATATAACAAAGTAAGGGGACAGTTTCACTTCTGTGATACTTTCCCCCAAATCTATAATCTCAATCTAACATGAGAAAACATCAGACAAAGCCAAATGGAGGGACATTATGTAAATTAACCAGCCAGTATTCTCCAAGTGTCTTGGTTATGAAAGAAAGACTGAGAAATTATTGAATGCAGTGGGATCCTGCACTGGATCCCAGATCACACAAATGACATTGGTTGGAAAACTGGTGACATTTGAATAATATAGCTTATTTAATAAAACTGAAAATTCCTGATTTTCATTACTGTATTATGGTTACATAAGATGTTAACATTATGGGAATCTGGGTGAAAGCAACCTGAAAACTGTTATTTTCTGCAGGAAACTTTAAACTTTTCTGTAAATCTAAAACTGTTTCAAGGTAGAGTTAAAATCATATGCATATATTCAAGAAGAAAAGTGTTCTATACTTCATATAAACATTGCCAGACAATGCTGTGATGGCATAAAAATCTAGAATGTTACAGTGTTGTCTAAACAGAAGAACGTATATACAGTGCCTCCTAACCTACCTCGCTCTGAATCAGAACGATCTGAAGAAATAGTTGATCCAATGCTGTCCATTCGTATTCGTTCCATCTCCTGAGGACCCTGCAGCTGTTCTAGTCGCCGCTTTAAAAATCTTTGTTCTCGTTCCAAGTTCTCTAGCTGGTGTTGGCTCTTCCTTTCAGCTTCTTCAAGTTTCTAAAATGATAAAATAATATTTAAGTTTGCGTATAGTCCAATACAAACAATAAAACTGAATTCTACCTACCATCTCAAAAGACTTCTTTGACTGAGAAAAGATGACTGAATATAGGCAAGTATATATGTGCTTATATAAAAACATATGTGCATACAGACTTTTAAACAGCAAAAAAAATTGCCTTCACTTTTGTGTGTAATAAACGCTACATTACTAGAAAAGGACAGAATTCTCCAAGTCTGTAAAGTTATCCCCATGAAAAAGAAACTCGCTCTGCAGTGTAGGGCGATGGAAAAATACTGAGGGACATAGCCAAGTGAACTCAGCTCCACCAGAGGGCACAACTGCCTTCTTCCTTTCAGCAAAGAATTGTTATTTTCCTAGTATTTCCAGTTCTTCAAATGGCCACGCTGTCAATTTAGTTTAATCAGGTTATGTTGCTCCCATCAGATTAGCTGATACGTTATTTTAGAAAGATTACTTGAGCTCAGTTAAGGAGGGCATGGTGAGCTAGCTGACATATGTGAATAGGAATCATTGATTATAATTAAACCAGGACTGCGAGTATCACGTGCAAATATGAAAGTAAAAATTCTTACCTTGATATGTGCTTTGGCTTTGTTGAGCAAACCAAGTGTTGTGTGCCTGGTGCAGTCTGGCCCTAGCGGAATCAGAACTTTTAAGCGTTCTAAACACAGGCGCAGATGAGCTCGTCTAAAACGAAATAAAAGCAGCACAGTCTGAATATTCTACTAAAAACATCCTAAAGTCTATTTTAAGACAAATAGTAATTTGCACATTATTTCAGTCTTTACAACCATGTTACACTTCTAATTCTTCAGCTTTAAAATATCTGCAAGTGCCGACGTGCCTGCTGATGGCCGGAGTCCGTAGTTTCTGTTGTACTCTGCAGATGCCACCACTTCAGATCATCGTGCCCAGGGGTAATCTCCATCAGGGATGATAATTTTTAACCTGCCCTATAAACTGTTTCAACTGTACTAATGTGGAAGTAGGAAAGCAGACTATGGCTATTGTGTTTGATGTTGAAAACCCAAAACCATAGGCTGGAGTAGGGGCTTTCAGCTGGGGAAGCCCAAGGGGCTGAAGAACTATTTCTTTCCCGCTTCTCCTCGCTCTTTAATTACCCACCTCTAATTTTCCACACATGGAAAAAAAAAGCCAGGTGACATAACTCCTTACTCACTCATTGTAGTCGCTAGTCTACCCATCCAGTGGGTCAGTCAGGGGAAGTGGTCATGGAAATGCCAGCAGAGAGCCTCATGGATTTACCTACCCTGAACCTAGACCCATTATGGTGAGCATTCTGGGTACTTAAGTTCCTCCTACAGTAATACTAGTCCACATCTTTGGTCCTGTGCTTCATAAGACACAGCATAACTCAACACTTAGTATATGTGAAAAAAAATCTAAAAATTTGTTCGTAGTTGACTCCTACTCCTTAAAGAGCTATAACTGAACAATTAGGAACTGTTTCAACGGCACCAAGAAGGAAACACAGCCTCCAATTTCCCCTCAAAGAGGGCCAAAATGATTTTACTAGCTCACCCACCAAACTAATTCATACACAGAGAAATAACATCAAGTGAAATTTTGAAGTGCTAGCAGTTTTAACAAGAAGCAGTAGGTGATAAGTAGTCAATTATATTATCAACAAGGAAGGGTTATTAAGGATAGTGAGGTCAGAGGTTTGGTTGATGAATTTTTAAGATTCTTCCAGTACCCACTAGTCCAGTCTGCTAGGTCCATTTAATGGACATAAATACTCGGTCCATTAGTATTTCTATTCCAAATCTCTACTGAATTCAACAACTCAATTCTAATAATTGGCACCAGGCTGAAACCTACTACACCTGACACGGACATAGGACTTTTAAAACAATTTTTCTCTAAATTAAAGATTTATTAATGTATTCCCTTTAATGAGATTTAACAATTTTAGTGCCACTCTCACCCCCTGCTGTGCTAACCAGAATTACAGAACCATCAGCATAATTTTCATTTTTAACTGGAAAAACTTCTAGGTGAGTGCTCTCACATAATCAGAGTGCCCTTGGTGAGCAAATAATAACAAAAATCCACAGTAAAAAGTGCCTTTACATTTTGCATCAGAATTGTTACAGCATGCCTAACAACTGCACTCACATAGGACCAAATGTAGAAAAAGAGGCTCCTGGTTCTCTTGCTAATAGTGAATTCAGTCATCTAAAAAGGTTAACAAAGCAACTAATAAAACTGACAAGTATGGTACCCAAAAATAACTTGCCTGTTTTCTTTAGATTACTTAACCCCAGAAATTAAGTGGGTATATAGGAATAACTTGTAGCTTAAGAAACTTCTGAATGACTCCTTAATGTAGTTTCACGTCAAAGACAAAAACAGGTGGGTCAATTTTCTGTCCTTTGAGGTTTATGTGAAAGTCATACTAAAACCTAAGCAGAAATCAACTAACTGGGTACTAAAAATGTCTTTTTACTCTCTTTTTAAAAATCATTCAACTGTATGATTATTTTTTAAAAGATTTATTTATTTATGCATACAAGAGCTGGGGCACAGGCCACAGGTGTGGTATATGAAAGGATTCACCAGAGACAGAGTGAGGAACAGAACAGGCAGGTCGACTGAAATACACTGCTGAGGGGAGCAGAGGGTGAGACAGGAGAGGTCTGCTATGCCATGAGGGTATCTCCCTGGCCTGGGATCTAACTCATGCTGCAGTGGGTGTGGATAGCTTCATAGGTTGCATCTTAACCCCTTGCGCACCAGGGAGGCCCTCAAACTGTATGTTTATTAATAACTAGTGTATTGGTGATGTTACAGATACTTGCCTGAGTGACAAAAGTTAAAAAAAAGTCAACTTTAAGAGTTTATAATCTAGACGACAGAACAAAACGTATTGTTTTGTTTCATTTGGTTCCTAATGAAACTGAGTCATACAGATATCAAGAGCAAGAGAATCTGAATAAAGGAAAGATTGTAACTGGAGGAGGCCGACTTTTAAAAGAGGCTGAAACTTGACTTTGGACTGGAGGATTATTAAATTTGTTTATGAAAAAGCAAGGATTTTCAAGGTAATTGAAAGAAGAGTAAGGGACTCAAATTCATGGATTGGGAGTTAAGCTTAAACCTAAAATGAAGAATACCTTAGTTTTTTTTATTCAAGGAAAAACAACTGAGTTGGAATTCTATAAGGAAATATCAGCCATGTTCAGAGGTCTGGTGATCTGTGAGGGCCTGTCAAGTCCGGAGCTGCCCGGGCCAAGGGATCAGGTGTAAGAAATGCCTAAAGGAAGAGGGAAAGGCAGACAACCCTCTCAAATAATTTTCACTCATGAATATTCAACATTTTTTAATCAAGTAATTACAAATATGTCCAAAGACACAGCTTGCGCCAAAAGACATACCCTGAGCACTCATGTCTCCCAAAGGCCAGGACTGCCATTTCCCATGTTTTATAAATAAAACCTTCAAGAAAAAGTGGCAGTATGATGTCCTCTGCTCTCCTGGTGGGGAAGGTGCATCTGTAGGAACTACACGTTAATGCCTCTAGTTTTATACCCGTATGTGAATGGAGGAGACACAGGTCAGAGTGGCCGTCCAAATGCTGCGGTCTTCCCCATGTTCTTATCTGTCGCGTACGTAAAAGCAACCTTCCCAGAGCAACAGATAGACCTTCTAAGTGCACAGTGGGAAGTTAAATCAGAAAGTCCATTCTCCTCAACATGTACTTTTTTTTCTCTCTCTAGCAAATTACTAAAACAAACTGTATGGCAGCATTCTCCCTTCCTCACAATGGTGCTATGAGCGCTCTACCCTTTCCCCTAGTCTCCCTGCTGGTAACCAGATTGTGAGCTTAACCACCAACGACCTAGAAAGGCCTATCTTTTGATGCCATCTGGTCCTTTCTTTTCTTGCCTTAATTCTCATGAGACTAGTGGCTCAGGAGTCCTCCTGTACAGCTTTGCCAAATCATGGGCTATAATACATTAGGGGAGGTACGAGACAGAAGGAAAAAAGCATGGTTTGATTTTGACAATCTTTATGCATGGAGAAAAACACTGCAAGTATCATAAGACGATGTTTTCCAGGGCCCCAAGAAATGAAAGAGCTAATAGAAAACAAGGATTTGTAAAAAGGCCTGGTCCTGCCACTTTTATTCTGATGAACACTAGCCCAACAACCAATAGAAAAAGCCTGACGTAAAATGTATAGACCTGGACTTGATGGAATATGAGAGAAAACTGAACCCGCCCCGGTGAGCATTTACTGAACTTTTTACAATGTGGATGGCTCAATAAAAACTATGAAACTGAAGTCTTTCCTAATTACCACGAGTGACAATAAAGCAGAGGTAGGGTTAGACACTGCAGCCAGAGGGTCCTATGAGAAAACTGGAGTCTCCTTGCTGAGAGGAAGAGGCCACGAGAATGGGGTGTTACCAAAGAACTTTTATTTTCAAAGATGCTTTGAGGGCTGTTTTAAATGAAATTTAAAAATGTATTTTAACCAGGGGAATAGGCCATTATCAGTGGCTAACCCTCTTAGAGAGAAGGTCCTATCAAAATTGCCTATACCTTTAGAAAGGGCAAGCCCCTTGTGGGAAATGGAACAATTCAAGTCTCTGGCTTTTATTTTGGTAGATTAGGATCATTTTTCTCGGAAGGAACCAATGGTGCTTCTGATTTCAAACCTTGTGAGCTCTGCTGCCAAAATGAACTACCACGGAACATGAGGGGAAGTCATTTTGCTATAAAATGGTCACTCAGAGTAGCTGTGACACTTTAAAGCACAGGTATAGCAACCACAAGCAGCACAAAATATTGAGGGAGGAGAGAGAAAAGAATTTCCTTTCAGAGGAAAAAAACAACAACTAAGTATCATACAATGTTTTTCAAATGTTTTCTAAAAACTGTAATTCCTTGTCTGGTCTCACAAACTGTCCACCAGTGGACGCCCTTGGAGGCATGGCCCTTCATTTGGGACCCGCTTGTGTTCATTCCTCCACTACAGGACATCAAGACTTTGCCAAGTTACTAAATCAAAATGAAAACAACTGATTGGGACAGTACTTGTATTTTCCTCTCTGCTGAATGTTATGCAATGGACTGAGTCCTGAGCTGCACATTCTTAAAAGCTGCAGAGGCTTGTGGCCAGGCTTCCGGACTCCCTATTCAACACCTCTGCACGTGGCAGCAGCTAACTGCTTGTCCTACACATCTGATATTTCAACATTTCTCTAAAATTTAATGTGCCGAGAATCTTCTAAAATCTTCAAAATTACCAAAAATAATCTGCCTGCCTCTTATGAAAAATAACATTAAAAATGGATCCAGAGAGATCAAGCACCTTCATGCTGCTCACGTATTTGTCAAAAATAAATATGACCATATCTGATGTTCAGCTTATTCTGTGTGTAAAATAAGAAAGCTTAGGCAAGCTTTTCCTCAAAATGGCAAATAATTATATGTTTCACTTACAACTTACATGTTATCTACTTCACAAAATAAAACAGATTCGGCTCAATAAAAACAAAATAAAAACTTAGGAGGATAGCTGGGACCTTTCCTTCACTTGGCAAGAGAGTTGCTTCCACTAATACTCCTCTTAATTCAGTAAGTAATCTATAAAATAACCAGATGGGAATATCAAGCTGCAAATTATATATATACTATATATATAATTATAATAGTAAC